ACTAGTGAAGGAATGCGATTTAAGAGAAGTATATGCTAGATAAAAAGTATAATTCTGAGACACTCAAAATGGTCTGGGTGCTACAAGTAGTACAGTCATGGCAGCAGGAGGCTATTGGCAGTTCAATTCATCCTTCCAATTAAGCTATGGAATTTGAATGGAGTAGAAGTGGACATTTTCTTACTTTGTTCTGGCCCAAACGTGAAAGTGGAATTTGATTCAGGGATCTGGTTAATATGTAGAAACTAATTTGAAAGTATAGAGTTTACATTAAAAAAAAAATTGAGTCTACTTAGGGAAACTTCAGTGTGAGCAGATAGACTTTCTTAAGGTAAGATAAACCTAGATACAGTGTGATGTCTAGTCCGGTGGTGATGGTGCTTAAAGGAGAACTTCTTGTACACCTGCTCTGGAATCCTCTTGATTTTTCTTATTTCAGACCAAGTAGTCTGACTATTACCAAATATTACATTTTCTATGTAAAACAAACAAAAACACTTGAAGCTATGAGAAGGGAATTCTAAAGTTGGTAAATCTTTCAGGCAAATAATAAAAATTATTTCAATTATTCAAACTATACCAAGCTGAATTGAGAAATATTAATAGCAGTAGGTGATATAGTAATACAAATTTAAGAAAAGCCAACTCCGCTTTTTTTGAGTGCTCAGTGTAGTCATTGCACTGAATTTACATTATGCCGTTTTACTTTCATATACTATTTAAAATACATGAATGTGATGCACATATGCAGTATCCCAAATCAAAATGCGTGTTTAATAGTATGTAATCTTCCACTGTACAGCCTATACAAGTTTGCACCTGTCTCAAACACTTACATTGAGGTCATTAAACTAATTACTTTTTAATCAATTTAATTAAATTTCACTTAACATATTTTCTTACAGATAACGTTCATGCTTCCATATGGAAGGCAAAAATCCATGACAATTGACGATTACAAAAATTGCCAAGTCCCAGGCTCTCTTTTATTTATATATATATATTCTGACCATACCATATTTAAAGAGACCAAAGCATTTTTTTTGTCTGATAATGACTGTCAAATCCAGGCAGTGGATGGCTTTTCCAGAAAATACTGTATGTTTGAAAATGACTTATTTTTAGGCACATTTTACATTATCACACCATGTTAGAAAAGAGCTAGAAAAGTTGGATGAGTTTATTGTAGTAAAAAATTTTTCTCAAAATTTGGGGAATTTTTCTTTAGTGTCTGTGAAGAACAGTCTGCTGAATGTGAACTGTGAGCTTCAGAAACCTTCACAGAGGCTGATACTTCATTTAAGTAGTGTGAACTGTATGGATTATCAGCAGCCTACAGAGAAACAGCACTGAAGTAATTGTTATCAGAAGTACAAACGAGCCTGAAGTTGTTAATTGGAGTCCCAAACTGCAATTCTTAATTCCAAAGTGCCAGAAGTTGTAATTTTCTTTTTCTCCCCTCTTCAGTTCCTTATGCTAGTAGCAAGGGAATACACTCAACCTATAAAATTAGACAATTTCAGTACAAACCAGGCTATAGCACTTGCTATTGATACCATATTTAGTTGGCCTATACCTTTAATTGAAATTCAACAGCCATTTAGAGTGCGCTAAGATTTATGAGCCCCTTGCCAAAGGGCATCTTATCATTTTCAGCTGGCTTTGTTTGTTTGTTGTAAAAGGTGTCAGGGGTGGTTTTTTGAGATTAGTTTACACATCAAACTATAAGATATTTAAGCGCAAACTGTTTGGAATTTCGTAATTTCCAGATCACACGTTGTGATTCTCTACTTGACTCCAAGTTCTGTTCAGACTAGATACAGCAAGTATCAGTAATGAATTGAAAGTGAAATTGGGGAGGGAGGGAAGCACAGAAAGATCTGAAATACCGTGCAGCCAAACCATTCAAGAGAAATATGTCTGGGTACTATTTCTTTCTAAAATATTTTGCATCTTTGAATACTTTCCTTGTTTAGCTCTGGAAACCAGATTATGTGCAGTCCAGAGTTGTTCAAAGCAGCTCAGTGTCTGAAAGGAGAAATTAGTTGGAGCCCTTGAGATACGGCGTGTGATTTATGGTATGGATTGGGAGTGTTGAGTGGTAGGATATAATAACTGTGCTGCATACCATCGGGCATAACATCAACTTCTCAAATGAAGCATGCATTTTATAATGCAATATTTTTCCTTATTGTCTAACCTATTAGATATTAAAATTCCTTTTGAAATTTCTGTGCTTTGTGCCAAAACAAACATGAAAATATGTAAGGTGATTTAAATAGAAGGTGTAGAGTGGTGTGAATAATACAGTCAGCTGATTACATTGTTCTTGAACCAAAGTACAATACTTTGTTATGGTATTTACTGATGTACTTTGTGTCCTGATAACATTTTTGTTATATAGCTGTAATTGGATTTGTGCACCTCCTTTTCAAAAGGAAGTGTTAAGAGAATTTATTTTGATCTTTTCAAAAAATTGTAGCAATAGTAGCAATTAAGGTTTGAATTCTTGCTTTTCCTGTTGTTTGACGTAACATAAATATACCAGTTTTTATCTCTTGTGAAAGAGACATCAGGAAGACGGTATATGGTTTGTCTGTTTTTTCACTGAAGGATGAAAACAATCTAAGAAGGAATCGTAATGTTTGCAGAGTAGAAAAATCTCGAGGAATGAGAAGAAATAAGTAGTCTTTGCTGCTTTCAGCAATGTTCGTACATTTTTGTTTATCTTTGCCTGAAACTGTCGGTTTTTGTTTTGGCTTTGTTGCTTCTGATTCATTTAAGCCAGTCAGGTTCATCATTATTTGCTTCCTTTATTCAAGGCCTTATTCTTTTATGACTTTACCATGTGACACGCAAAATATTTTTCTGCTAAAACTGCAAACCCTGGAAGGAATCCTAGTTTATATTTCTGCCAGCTTTTCGTGACATTTAGACATTGAGAAGACCATAAGTGATTTTTGGATTATCTGTGATGTCTTGCAAGACCGCCTGCTAGGACTGGCCCTATAGCATCATGCAGTGTTGAGGGAAGTGTGGGACCCTAAAGTAATTTTATCTTTGTGTGTGTGTTCTGTTTTAATTAAACCAACTTTACTTTGTATGCATACAGCTAAGCATCATGATGGTGCAGAAGTTGGATTTAATGTAGATATTTCTTGCTGTAAGAATGCTTGCTCTGTGGCTGTGAAACTCCTGTGTTTTCCTGTGTTTGCCATGATTAAACTTTTTCCACTGATTTGTGCAGCCGCATACTGGAACACAGTCACACAAGCATTCTTTCATTTTCCACAGAACTCAACTGAACTTGGACATTTATTTTTATATGCAGAAGATGTTGACCCATTACTTCTGTAATGGAAACATCTGGCAGTTCATCTTCTATAGTGTTTCAGAGTGCCTAGTTTGCTGCTTAAGATTCATTCCCATCTTTAAAGTCTGAGAGGGGAAGCTGTACCTGCTCTGTCTTGCTATACTTGCTCAATTATTGATTTTTTTGGATTCATTTGGCAAATTATTTTTTACCTCAAGATATTTATTAAATTTAGCTTTCCTTTTTGGTATTTTTTTTCCAGTGCAGTAAAGTTTTAATAATATTTTCAAGTTCAGCAAGATCTTTATTTGGGTGTATGTATGCATTAGCAGAGCATCTTTTCCTCCCCACCCCTCCACCCCATTAGACGTATTTCCTATATTTATGGGAGAAGCGTAGGAGGGAGTAGGGCGGGTTGAACAAATGCCAAGGTGAACCATTACCTATTAATGGTAACATCTAAGATGACTGGAACTGAATTCTCCCTTAATTTCTTTGAGCTAGTTTGAGGGGGGATCTATTGTTCACAGACTTCTATCAAGAAATTAGCAGTAATTTTGAAATTCCAAAATTGTGGTTGTATCACTCTTCAGTCTCAGATTGTACATTGTACAATATGTCACTTTTTATTGACATGTGCATACGAAGTTGCTCCTATGGACAACTTAATTTTTCATTTGGATATTTTCTCTGTGAATCAAATCCTTCCTGTAGATCACTTCTCTGTGTAGAATTGACAAATATGAAGTATGCTTTTTTACTAGAGTCGTGGTATGTTTATCAGAGGACCTAAAACATTTTTCATCTTATTTCTTGGTTTTAAACCAAGATGATGGTTTAATTAGTTTGAGGTTGTCTGAATTTTTCTTTTTACTTGTGCTTGGCATCTAGGATACTGTAAAGACAGGAAAGTGTAGCATCACATCTAACAAACCAAATTAATTATGCCTAGTGCCTTTTCTTCCAGTTAGTGGAGCTCTCTATTGTTTTATTGAAGCACTTCTGTTGTTTTTTTTTTTTGTTTGTTTGTTTTGAAAAAGAATTTAAGAATTTCTGAAGTAATTTCATTGGTGTCACATCTGAGTTGTTTCTGGCTTGTTGATATCCAGGAGGAATATTCCAGTTAGAAAGCAGTGGATAGTGATTTAAGTTCTCTTTTTGTTTCAATTCAACTGAATTCATATCCTAAGACAGTCTGCTTGACATAATCTTCCTTGTGTACTAATGCTGATTGGGAAAATAGCTAGCATAATTTTTATACAAAATACCTGTTATCTGAAGCTTGATTCTTCACGATGAAAGTTAGAATTCTGAGAAGGAATGATGAACGTAGTCATGTTGAATGACAATGGGGAAATTCCTGGTGTGATACTTTGGGTGAGGGAAGTGTCTTTTTAACTAATTTAAATAAGTGAAATCCTAGATGTCATTTTTAAAGATTTAATAGGTATATGTTGTATGGGAAATGCAAGTACTTTTTAAAGCAAAACTTCAGATACATATCTTGTGTGTTTTGTTTTTATACTTGTAAATTATGGGATTGTTAAGTGATTATCACTTACGTGGCTGTGAAGGAGTGAATCCTTAATTTGCAATTGTTTACAAGGTTTGACACAGTCACTGATGATAGATATTAAACGTGTTGATTTGTGAATGGCAAAATTCTTACTGTTGTTTTTAATTCCAGGTAGGAGAAGACAAAGAGTGCATCGCCCTCGTTCTCCAATATTGGAAGAAAAAGATATCCCACCTTTGGAGTTTCCAAAATCCTCAGAGGACTTAATGGTGCCTAGTGAGCATATAATGAATGTTATTGCCATCTATGAGGTACTAAGGAACTTTGGCACTGTTTTACGCCTCTCTCCTTTTCGTTTTGAGGACTTCTGTGCTGCTCTGGTAAGTCAAGAGCAGTGCACACTTATGGCAGAGATGCATATAGTGCTTTTAAAAGCAGTTTTACGTGAAGAAGACACTTCAAATACTACCTTTGGACCTGCTGACCTCAAAGATAGCGTTAATTCCACTTTGTATTTCATAGATGGAATGACGTGGCCAGAGGTTCTGCGGGTATATTGTGAGAGTGACAAGGAATATCATCATGTTCTTCCTTATCAAGAGACAGAGGACTATCCTTATGGACCAGTAGAGAATAAAATCAAAGTTCTGCAGTTCTTAGTGGATCAGTTTCTTACAACAAACATTGCACGTGAAGAGTTAATGTCAGAAGGTGTTATTCAATATGATGATCATTGTAGGGTTTGTCACAAACTTGGGGATTTGCTTTGCTGTGAAACTTGTTCAGCTGTGTACCATTTAGAGTGCGTGAAACCACCTCTCGAAGAGGTACCAGAAGATGAATGGCAGTGTGAAGTCTGCGTAGCACATAAGGTGCCTGGAGTAACTGACTGTGTTGCTGAAATCCAAAAAAATAAACCATACATTCGGCATGAACCAATTGGATATGACAGGCATAGACGGAAATATTGGTTCCTGAACAGAAGAATCATTATGTAAGTAAAGTAATTATTTAGTGTTTTCTGAAGAATAGTGTGGTATTGAATGTATATTTACAAATGACTATCCTGTAAGTTCCTGTTTCCATCTCAAAATTATTCTTCCTTTAGATAAGACCATTACTTCTTAGTAAATAGAACTCTAAAGACCAAATAATTATTCCATTATTTTCTACAAACTAAATATTCTCATAACTTTAAAGGAGATAAAAGGGGGTAAAAAGAAACAAGGACCGTGGCTATATTTTAATGTGTCTAAAACATGTGAATATGAGGAAAAGAAAGGAAGTTTTAATGAGAACTCTCCAGTTTTCTGTAAAAGTTCCTGAAATGTCATTTAACTGTCCTTGCCAATGCACGGTGTCTAGATGACTGTCACCTGCTTGGGTAGTATTTGGCTTTTGGATACTTGCACTGTTTTGGTGGTCTGCCTTTGAAGTTAAGACTCTCAGAGTCACTTGAGAAAAGGTATTAACCAGATCTATTAACCAGAAATAGGGAAGATACTATATGTAAATTCTTCTGTAGGTGGAAACAAAGTTGAAATGGCAAGATGTGCCTGCCTTCAAGATGTCTTCTACCATTTAAAACAATTTCCTGTTTGTGGTTGATTTTGAGATACTGATGTAATAAACACCAAAAATTACCAAACTCATGAGTGTGGGCATTGTGCCCTATTATGTACCTGAAAAGTTAAATTTAAGGCTATAAAGATATTTTTTTTTTTGGACAGGAAAATAGATCAAGACATGGTTTTCTTATAAAAACCGTTCTAATGTAATCATTTCATTAATGAGGGAGAAACAAAATATTGAAATACAATTAATGGCATGGTTATTTTAGGAAGAATAAAGAGAGCTTTTTCTGGATTTCTTGAAATACAATTTTCCATTCGGTATTATAGAGAAAATAAGGTAGAGCTGGATACCTTAACGGAATTTCATACTAGATGTACTACATAGGAAGTTAAGATATCAGCCAGTGTCTTTTGAAAGGGATTATAAGGGTGTATGAGATGACATCTTTTAAACCATACACTTCCAAGTCCTCATTTTTGTCCTTTTAAAAATAAATGTCCTTTCTCTAATGTATTGTTAGCTGATACTCTAAGCATTTTTTCTATAAGTTCTTCTTTTGCTTATTTAAAAAAATATATATATTTTTAATTTTTTCCAGGTCATAAATACCGTAGTGGTGTCAGGTAGTTTTTTAAAAGGTGCAGGGAATTTTTTATGCTCTTGCCACTTTTTAGTACTCTGCTCTATCATTCAGATGGATCAGGTGGATGTAATGGTGCATCTGAAGTTTCTGGCATCCTGGGTGAACTTGGATAGGATTGTAACTAAACTAATGAGTGTAGCTGTACTGTCTCTGGACCTAGCATTGTATTTGTGGAGCATTCCTAGGTGGTTTTCATGAGTCAAAGTGAGTCTGGAAGCAGTAAAGTAACTGATCTGTAACAGTATGCTATTAGTCTGCTTTTGTTCCATGGAGCAGACAGTTGCATACATTACACTGGAATTTATTTGGACGATTGTCTTGTCTTGATGAAATGTTGCTCACTGGTGTCCTGTCTGTTGAATCTTCTAACCCAAGAACAATCTCTGTGAGTTGAAAATCTAGTAAAACAAAAAAAAACAAAAAAACAATTACTTTCAGCATAAAATCTGAATGAGATCGTTGCAAGTGTAATTAAAGCATTTCTCTCTTCCAAAGGACAAGGAAAAAGAGGGTCTCTTCTGGTAACTACAGAAGAGTACAAGAAAATAGGAGAATTATAGATGAAGGACAAACTCCTCAGGTCTTTGAGAATCAATTTTATTTATTTTTTTTTTTTAAAAAAAGGAGAAAAACCTGGTTGTGAAGCACATGCAGTTAATATTTTTTGCTCTAGTTGAACAGCGTATAGATATTCTCCTCTGTGCATGGCTTTCATATCTTTCGTCTCAAGCTCTGAAGGAAAAAGTTGCTCTAAAAATAAGCTTGCCTTAATGCTCTACTGCACCGGCAGAATGATTTTATTCTGCTCACCATTACAAATCTGGGAACTAACGACATGAACAACAACAAAAAAATAGAATCACTTACTCTGGAGGTGATTTTAAGATAAATAGGCAGGCTTCCCCCTCACCCCAGTATGTAGGTAGGTTGGTAATTGTCTTCAACTAAACTTGTGAAACAATGTTTTTTCCCCAATGGAGTGGAGTATTTGATGTTTGATATATTCAAGATACTTTGAACTGAAACAAATCATGCAGGTGCTTCTTTATTTTTATAAGTCTATGCATGTGAAAGTTGTTTCAATTTATGCTTTTTTTTTTTGGTAGTACCTTCTATTGCAATAGCAGAGGCATCCTCAAAGGTTGCATGTATGGAATTTTTTTTAAAAATAATTTTGCATTCCTGTTAAGAGTTCAATGGGCAAGTGATTTATGTCAGAAATGGTAAATCAGGTTTTATTAACAGAAATTTTATGCCCTAATGGGGAGTTTATTTAATGAGAAAACACATCACTATTCTATTAAAAATCAAAAATAGATAAGAATAAAGCCACACAACAAAAGGAAAATTTTATTAGATTTTAATTTTACTGATTTTTTTGTTAGCGATAAAATGTTTCAAAACATAAATAGAAAAATATTTTAGCTTTCAAAGAGAAGAGTATGTGCAGTTCACCCATTAATTATTTCCTGTCTTTTATATTCTCGTGCAGGTTATCTGAGTTGAAGTTATCTGTCCTTCCTGTTGCAGTTAGATACCAGGCCTTCTGCTAGTGTAAATGTACCTGTGCATTCTGCAAAAACAAATTTTCAGAAGTATGTGGTTCGGATTAAAAATTTCCCAAATTGTCCTGATGGATGTACTGGGTAAAACCAGCACAACGGAATGAGAATAAGAAACACATACACAGACATTTGGGTGCACCTGCAGCAGTGGCACTCCTAAAGAGTACAATGTGGGATATACAGGATCAACCACTGCACTTCTCACTGAGCATAAACATAATTGAAGTTACTCCTAATGTGCCTTTCATGCTAAAGCCATTGCATAATGGAACAGAAGCATTTACTATATAACTAAATTCCAGGGAAATGCAACTTTAATTCACATAGATATTAAACTCTGTATTGTCAGTTTTTAATATCCTTTAGATCAGTAGCCATGCTGTATTGCAAAAGGAACCATTTTGCACATCTGTGTATTGAACAAGTTCAAACCACACCTGATGTCTTTAACTGAAGGATAACTCGTAGAATAACCACCAAATGTTAAAACCTGAGATCCATGAAATTATTAAGAAGAATAAAGAAATTGAATTAATGCCATGTGACCAACTATATCAGAGGAAACTAATAGATCTAAAAAATAATAATAAATAATTTAAGTCTTGCCTGGGGAGGGTAGAGAACTGAAATCCTATTTTTTTATATTTTTTTTTTCAGAGAAGTTTTTTCGGGCATGTTACTTCCTGTCCCACTTCCCTTTTTGATAGTTATGTTACCATCACACCAACGTTTTTCTCTTATTTAAAGAGTTTTCTACATTGTTATTGTTGTTCAATGAGCCTCTAACTTCCATGTTCATCACTTGTTTAAGCCCATCATTGTGGTTTTGTTTCCCTTTTTCACCTCTTCTGTTTTACAAATAGAGAAAAGTGGGCACTGTGAAGAGGTTCTCTTCCCATACATACCCTGGAGCAAATCTCAGCAGGATGAAAAAGCAAGAGATAATTCCTGAGGTTTTGTTTCAGTGTTTACAAATTTAGGATGATGTTTCTGAAGGAAGAATAAGGAATAAATCAAGAAAATCAGGACAATCAAATTACTTTCAGATAAAGTTACTTTGCTGCTTCCCAATTTGCATTTTAAGTAACAGTATCTTAATGTTTTGTTGGTAGAGAACAACTGATTATTTTACTGGTAAATGTGGTAATTTCCTCTTTTTTTCTCCCTATAAACAAATGGAAGATTTATAAGTTTGGAAAAGTATGGATGTAACAGATCAAATACTGAGATGCATTGGGTTTGCCAACTGTCTATGAAGCAAGGTGGTGAAAGGTTGTTTGGCCCTCGTTTGATATCAGCAATGAAACAAATTGCTATTCCTGTGCTGTTTGTACCTGCCTCAACCATCAAAAACAGTTTCAGATTTTTGTTTCTGCTAGATCTGTTGTGCTGTTCCTGTTCTCAGTGGGTCCTCCTCTATTTTCTCCACTTAAAAAAAAAAAAAAAAAAAAAAGTAAAGAAATCTTCATTTTAAAAGAAGCTTAGTTTAAACAATTTTATTAATTCTGCAATTTTTAACTGTATTGCTATGGGATTCAGGAAAGGGTGTATCTACCTCAAAAACAGTTAATTACCATTTTCTAGCATCTTCCATGTTCTAATTTTTATCAGTGTTAGAAGTCGCCTGTAAGGCCTGCTAAGTGAATAGCTTCAGGCAGTGAAGGAGACAAAAAGGTAGGAAACACTCACGTAATTCTTTTTGCTCCCTCCCTCAGCCTCACAATATATGGGACTGAGTGCCCTGGAGGCGAAGCAGTCACCCAGCAGCGAGCTGATGGTGCCTCCCTTGTCAGAGAAGCACTGGGAGTGCTCAGTGGGTGCTAGCACAGCCTCCTTTCCTGAAGGGATAAGGGACTATTTATATAAAGTGTTCAAATTATTGCACAACTAGGTTGTGGAAGAAGAGGTATAAATGGCATATGAATATAGCTAATAATTGTCCGACAAGATAGGGGCTCAAAATGAAGGTAAAGGTGCCTTTTGATGAGTTTAGAAGCAATTAAAGTTTAAGTTCATCAACAGCACAGTTCAGCAGCTGTGTTCATAAGCTGCAGCCTTACCGGTGCTGCTCTGCCAACACCTTGCTCTTGCCACTTTCATCAGGCATTTGCCAGGGAAAATAGCAACACAGTTCAGAAGGTGTGACTTTTCCCTTCATTTTCGTCCTGTTTTGTTTCAGTTCTCTTTTCTGTCGAGTGTTTTGTTTGACCTTTTTCATTCCTTTTGCTCTCTAAGCTGTGTTCTTGCGATCTCCTCTCTCCTTCCATTTTAGTTTTTAAGCATGTTGCTTTCTCTTCTCTTTCTGTGTCTTTTGCCCACAAACTATAATAAAGGTGCTTCCATTGCTGTTATTGTTAGGAATTATATTTCTCAGCTTAGAGGAAACGTAGCTTAAATGTCAATTTTTCTTTAATGTGAAACTCTACAGAATATTCATTGGCTCAAATGATATTGAGCTGACATGTGTAATATCAGGGCAGTCTGTGGGCATTCTTTCTGAGTTGGGATATCTTCTCAAAAACTCTTCAAATTTACCATGCTAACGTGTTAAAACTAAAAAGTTAACAGTAGTCTAGGTGAGTAAATAGGTAAGGTAGAAAAATTAGTTGCTTTTCATGAACGAAGGCCATTCAGAGTGAAATCACAGCATTTCTTTGCAATATACCAAGTTGTATGAGCAAGACAAAAACAGTCTGTTTTGTAACAATGGTCATGGCAAATCAGTACTTTAATTTTGACTTGTACTGTCGTTATTATCAAGTTCATGGGCATCTTATTTTAGTGTTATTCTAAATGCATTCTGCACATATTGCAGTTGTTCTGTAAATAGGATGTGGCAAATCCTCTGGTAGATGACAAGTTGCCTTACGGATGTTCAGATTTCTGACAATCTGAGGCCAATTTTTCTCATCTTTAATGTATAAGCCACGTGGAGGCAGCCACTAGAGAGGAATACAGAGGAAAAATTATAAAGTTAGATCTTTTAAAGTACAATCAGCTTTCCATCCCCACTGACAACTTGTTTTAGGGTTATTAGTGAGCCACGGGCTAATAGGTAGGGCAAGTGTAGCAATAGCTTAGTGCCTCTTTTACATATGAAGGCCAAGCTTATAAATCACGGTGTTGCCTCATACCTCATTCACAGTATGGGGAGTGCTAGGGCTGTATTGCATGAGTGGTCCTGCCCACGGGCGGGCTGAGCTGCTGACCGGGAGCTGCTGAGGCAGGCTGGAATGAAGCAGCCTCCCACAGAGCCATGTGCAGTGTCCTCCTGAAGCTCTGGGAGAGCCTGCTAGTCAAAAAATGTATGGAGCACATTTGGGTCCGATGGCCTGGTCAAGATCCTCTTGATGCTGTGCTCCTCTCGTAATTTTCTTTATGCTATCATGAAGTACCCCAGATAATAAACGTGGAAATTCCTTCATCTCAGAGGATCGTATTATGTTTGTTTTATGTGCTTTCTGGTGCTTTCACAGGTGAATGCTGTAGAGATGCTAATAGAAAATATTTTATTAATATGAAGTTCCTGAATTTCCTGAATTTGCAGCCAGAAACTACCTTTTCTGGATTCTGGAGACAAGTACTCTTTCATTTCAGATTATTCAAGACTTAGTAGATTACCGGTTACAGTAGTATTAAATATAACGAGAATGAACCTTGTTGCCAGATTTGACAAACCAGTTTTAAGGAGACTCTTCAAAAGCTCTCCTGAGCAAGTTGTCATGAGAACTTCTGATGAAAAAGGGAAGGGAAGCGAGAAATTGTTTGGATACGGGGGTGTATATGAGTGTCCTCATGTGCTTTGTTTCTGTTTGTTTATTCATGTTCAGGTGTTGGCATTAATATTTCTCTGCAAAAAGTAGGGTGATAACCATTTTTGTAATTTGTCCAGATATTTAAACATTAATATTTTAAAAATACTCTTATAGAGAGGAAGATTCAGAAAGTGAGAAAGATAAGAAAATCTGGTACTATAGCACAAAGATACAGCTGGCAGAGTTAATTGAATGCCTAGACAAAGATTACTGGGAAGCTGACCTATGCAAAACTCTGGAAGAAATGCGTGAAGAAATTCATCGGCACATGGATGTTACAGAGGACCTTACTAATAAAGCACGGGGCAGCAACAAGTCTTTCCTTTCTGCAGCAAATGGTAAGCATACTCAGGCTAACAGGAATAGATGTTGCACTTTGAATCTAATAGTAGCTCATATTTATTGTATTGTAAAGTGCTTATTGGGCTAATGTGACACTACCAGTTATTTTCAGTGTGTTATTAAAGTTCTTGTATTTAAAAAAATAATAAAGGTAGATTTCTGGACATACAGAAAGATTTTTACATCAGTTAGCCAGAATAACTATTTTTGATGTTCACTGTCCTTTTTAACAGTTTAATTACAGATTATACTTGATAGCTTGTTTGTATCAAACTGCATTTCTTTGATTTAGCGTGGATTTTTGACTTCAAATTCATTTTATAGTGAGTGACTGACCTGAAGGAAGTGTTTTTTAGCAAAATGTTAAGCATCTTGTTAGCTGGATTTGTTTGGGAAAACTTATGACTAAATGAATGGATGTGTGGCAGGAAATGCTTTTACATCCCACTCCATGAATGTAACACAAATGCTTGGAGCCTGGTCAGTGCTTGTAGTAACAGCTGTTCCCACTATCCACAGTTGGATAGTGAGTATGGAGCTCCAGAGAAGCATCATGCTGCTGTACCAGCCTGGATATGTAGTGATGACTTCTTGCAGGCCTGTGTCTACATCGTGTGTTCCAGGATGTCCTGAATGATTCAGATTTTTGATTTGCTTAGGGTGTGCCAGATTGTGATCATTCCAAGTGTTGGAGTAGGGCTGTTAACTGTCAAATGTTTGTTGATTTACTGTCTGATACACATGTATATACATCCTCATAAACATTTAACAATTGAATAGGAGTTGGAATGGCAAAAATACTGAAGCTCAAATATTTGCTCCAATATTATGTCAAGTGTGGAGGAACACATATCTTTCCCTGCCAGAAGTTAATCAATGTACCTTGGAACAATAAATAGCTCTATAAACTTGGGAAGGTTTGAACTTTGGTTCTGGGGAAGGCGTGAAGGTTTGATATTCTGGTTTAGAAATGAATTTGTCATCATTATGTGGATGTATAATTTGAGAAATCGATTATAAGACCTTTGGAATTGTTGCTTTTAAGGAGGAAAAAGTGATAAGTTGGATGTTACTTTTTTGTCTCTTAAATGAAGTATTTATGCCATGTTATTTTTTCGTCCTTGGCTTTGTAGGTGGTGGTTTGTTGTATATTGATGACATACATTTTATTGTAGATGAAATTTTGGAGGTTATCAGAGCAAGGAGAGGAGAGATAGGGGAAGATAGAAACACACCAGCTGATGAGGCAGAGAAAGCCAAGAGTGATGGTGAGAATGACCAGACAGATACAGATAAAGGCAAAGAAGAATCTGGAGACCAGGATAAAACTGAGGAAACACCCACTGAGCAAGATGTGGAAAAAGTGAAAACCGAAGGTAAAGGAACTATCACTGTGCTTTTACAACTTCGTTTAAGTAGATTGATGCTTCAGCTAAGAAGATCCTCACATTTCTTGAAGTTAGAATATTTTTGTCTGATTCTTTAAGTTATTTTTAAGCAATAAGAAATATTTGTTAATTTATTTGTGATTGTATGTTATAATTGTTTATTTTGTTAAGTAATTTCACCAGTTTTCCTTCTTTTCAAGTTAAATACAGCTAGCTTGTCGATACCTTGGCTTGAGGTACAGTAGACATTGACAGAGTGTGATCAACAAGTTTATAGTAAGCAGTATTACACAAAACTTTTTAACATTGCTTTCCTCATCAGAATTAAGTAATTTGAGTGTTAGACAAGACTTTAGCATACAGGGGGGAGAAGAAAAAAAAAAAAGCTCAGCAGTATCAAACAGACAAATTAACTGAAGTTGCTTTCTATGGGTGACCCCAAATGACATCCTAAAACATAATAAAGAATATCCCTAAAGTTTTGTTGTGCGTTTTACTATAGAGGCAACAGTCGTTGGGGATAAAAGTAACTCTGTGACATCAAGCACTGACGACAACAACACAAATCCTTCTGCAGGAGAGACTAGTTGCTCTGAAGGGAAGAACGCAATGGGGTGTCAGTCAGAAACCCTTGATAGCAACAACATGGCAGAGAAGAAGGTGGCATCAGAGCTCCCTCAGGAACTCTCAGGTACAGAAGGCACTGTTACCAATGCCTCTGTAATTTGGGTAATCTGTTCAGTTTTTCCTATCTGGTTTGTTCACTAAAACCATTCACAGCGAATATCACTCATGCTGTTTGCTTGCAGTGCCATCCTTTACTGCTACGTTGTCATTAACATTTCAAAGTTAATTTTCTTGCAACTAGTTCTGGAAACTTGTGGTCCTCCATGACATCAGCATTTGTTTCCATGCCTTCCAAAGATGACTATGGCTAAGCTTTTTATGTTCTATTTTCTCTATATTTTATTTTTGCACAGTGATCCATAATGGTTGTTAGCATCCTATCAAAATTTATTTCAAATTCTAATTTGCTGCTGACTCTTATTTTAACCTCTCATTTACTGTATAAATTACTAACAAAGTATTTTCACTCACATAAGTAAACCATCGCACTGAGATCTCAAGATAAAATTGTCAAGCTTGCTGGGAATTTTAAACAGATTTCAGAATTGTATGCATAGAGGCTCTTGTGTTATACAGTGTTTTCTTCTGCCATGTCAGTGATTGTAAAGTGATAATATACTGTATTTAAAGAAAAAACTCTTTAGGAATGAATGGGACTTGATTTGGTGTAATGTAAATTATCACAGTATTATTTTAGAATGATACTCTGCTACAGGCTTTACTACGTAACCAAAAGTTACTCTAAACAGCTGATTACCATTACAATGAGCAGAGTTTTATACTCATCTTTTCAGTTGTTGCAAATACAAAAATAATCAAATTGTAACATAGCCACAGTGTGATGTTTGAAAAACTGGTAGTAAATGTTTCTTCTCCTACAGAAGTAGTTCTCTGTTCAGGTACAGATTTCACTTAAACTTGTAGATATGGATGCGTCTCAACTTTGTAATAAGTACTTTTCATAGAAGGGGAAAATGAAAGTTAAGATGAAACCATAATCTGGGAGCCTTTCAGTATGCTTTTTAAATACAGAAAATGTGCTACTGCATGGACTAAAAGCATATACTTTAGACATTTGATCACATACTTCTGCTTGTACTCATTTTTATTCCATTTTAAAGTTTTAAATAATTGATAGAGATTTAGTGGAGAATATTTGTATCCTACAACTTTGTTCCAGACACATGTATGGGTTCATGCTTCCTTTTAAAAAAAATCACTTTATGCAAAGGTGTTTCTTTAATACACTTTTGCTGTTACTTTTCTCCTTCCAAAGCTGCTAACCTGGTTTTAAATTAGTGGACTTCGTCTGTAGGAAAGTATGCATGTGTCTTTTGTGAAGGGGGTTGTTCCTCAGGTCTAATTTACTACATTTATAGTGATATTTGTGTTCTGTTATGAAAAGTTCAGTCTGAGACTCTTACCTCAGAGGAAGGGAGAGATACTGAACCAGTATCAGTAAAGCAGCCAGCCCCAAAGAGAGGAAAATAAGATTAAACTGCAAGCCTAAACAAAAATATCTATTGCAATCCTTGTTAAATGTAACATCGGTATTAATCTTTTATTTTCGGGTCTAGTTTGGATGCTTCCTTTCTCCTCCAAACAACAGGCACCAAACGGTTACATTTTTCTCTTACTAAGAAGGGAAATAGACCAAATAATGTCAGTCACCTGTTGGGAAGAGCCAGAAATCAAGTTGTGTTTAGGTACAGGATCTTCTAAGAATTGGAGAATAATTCTCAGATCTTATGACCTTTCTCCTAGGAGTGAACATTTCACACAGGGAAGGTTTTGGTCTGTTTTCTTTTAAAGATAACAGAATCCTTGATGTTTTGAAAGAGGTCTAAAAACAGAAAAATCTTGTTTGTTGTTTTTTTTAAACATCTAAGCAATGTCTTTGCACAAAATTCAGAAGATACTGCTGTTGGAAAGGGTGGTGCCTTCTTACAGGGAAGAGAGTGGTATTTCTAGATAGCTGCAATTCACTGATGGTTTGGTTGAAAGACTGTGCTCGGGCAGTGTGCTGTGCTGACAGGTGAGGTGGCAGTAACATCCACAGCTGTCCAGACAGTAACAAGGACAGCTGAGGACTGAGAATGCATTTGTCTTACTGAGCTTGAAGCACTATCTAGACCTAGCAGGTTGTAAGAAAAGCTGATATTTTAAGTTTGTAGAAGTGTTTAGATATAGAGTGTTGCCAATGGAAAGGAAATCACAATTCCTTAGCATTAATGTGCTGAGATGATCAAAGTCAGTGGAAAATAGATGGGGAAGGGAAAAGGTCGTGGTTTGAGGAACAGTTAATGCATGATACAATCGAGAGAATCAAACTGCAGGAAGACCAAATTTCATAAAATCTGCATCTTAAAAGCAAAACAAAGTCTCAGTAGAGGGCTCGCAGTGTGTGCATCTATAGGGGAAAAAAATACACTTTGTATTTCAAATTCATTCATCCAAATACAGATTTCAGTTCTTCAGAACTGTAAAAGTTGAAACTGCTTTAAACAGAACAAAAAGATAAAGTATCTTTTTATGGATTCAGTGCTCTGAAGGGAATTTATATTTTATGGGTATTTCTCTCCAGTCTAGCAAAAGATGTTCATCTGACTTTAAATTTTTCATCCAAAATATAAAATGAAATTTGCATCTATACATTTTAAAGGAAAACTAAAAATGAAGTTGTTCTTTTGTAGAAGAAACTGGTCAGATGATCCCCAGCAACAGCAGTGCGTCTGCTGCAGCTCTACAGGCAGATGTTGAGAACAGCAACAGTAGTGAGCTCAGCTCTGTGCAGAATGACTCCGTTAAGATGCCTGATGATGCTGAAAATGCAGAGGGGGGATCCCAGACTTCAGATGACATAGGTAAAGAGGCAAAAAAAAAAAAAATACATGCTTGATCTCTTATTTTCATGTTATGCATCTTTTTACTTTATAATTTCCATAAGTCAACAGAAAACTTTTAGTTTTTAGGTTTGTTTTAAAAGCTTTTTTATTTTTCCTGGGCAGGAGATAAGTCTAACGGTGAAAGAAGTGATTCTCCAGGCACAGGAAAAGGCACGCCAGGTTCGACACGAATGCTCACAAGATTACGAAATCCAGATAGCAAGTTGAGCCAGATGAAAAGCCAACAGGTTGCTGCTGCAGCACACGAAGCAAATAAGTTATATAAAGAAGGCAGAGAGGTTTGTATACTTAAGGAAAAACCAAAGTAGTAGTAAAAGTATAACAGAAAACCAATCATAGTTTTTTTTTTTTTTTTTAAAGTATTTAAACTTTTTAAAGTGATTTTGGCAGACTGTAAAGGTCATGAAAAAAAAAGTAAAAATAATAAATCAGCAAATGCTTAAAGTGTTGTTTCAGAAGCTTTTTTCCCCTTTTCCTTTGTTCTTGCATTCTAAATCTATACGATGATACACCAGTGACCAGTGTGCATACTCTCCTTTAATACACCGGTCGTAAGTTAGGGAATTGTTTACTATATAGCCAGCAGTAAGTTATATATGTTTTTTTCCCACTTTTGTCTTCAGGTGCCAAACCTGAAGTGATGTGAACTGATGTGCCAAAAATGTGACTTAGTAGTGTTTTGTATTTGATTATTGTTTGAATACCTGGGTAATAGCCAAGTTTCCAGTTCACCACAAGTCTGTACTGGCAGATTATGTTGATTTAAAAACAATCATTGCAAAATTGTAGCACTTCTGGATGCAGACTGAAGTGAAAGCTCTCAGATGACTGTCATTTGGTATAAATCTTTAGTGTGGCTGTAGGTTTGTGTTATGAGATAGCTCAGTTTCTCCAGAAATGGAATGTTTGAATGTTAAGCATTAGCTGCACTTATTTGTTGTCGTTGTTTGGTGTATTAATTTTATTTTTGTTAGCTGGTTATCATTATAAGTTAACGCAACTGTGTTTGTGAGCCTATCTGATCACAAACATCTCTGATTTGGAACTCCTTTATGAGTAGCTAGAGCAGTGTTGTTATCCATGCCATGTTTTCAAATTTGGAAATACTTGTTGGCTTAGCTAGGTGTAGGAATTCTGTGATTTACCCAGGAGGTGTTTCACAGACACTTTAGTTTACTTCAGTTTAGTGAGGCTATTTTCCCAAAGCCATCTCCCTCAATAGACATAATTCAGAGCAGCCAAACAGGTTCCTGTTTGACCTCCTGAAGAGCCTGGGTGGCTTTTTTTGTCATTGTTGAAGTTGATCTTCCTAGTTCTATATGCAATCTGTGATGAAGTACTTATATTTAACATATTGGTTAAAAGTTACTTGCTTCTGCAAACTAATGCAAGATATTTTTATGAACTTTACATATAGGCAGTTGAGACCTTATACTGTGAGTAATCAAACAGAATGATTTTTAAAGGTCCCAAATGTTTCCTTCTTTAACAAGGTTCTGGTGGTCAACTCTCAAGGTGAAGTCTCCCGAATGAATGCAAAGAAGGAAATTGTGATGAAAGGAAATATCAACAACTATTTCAAATTAGGGCAAGAGGGGAAGTATCGTGTTTATCATAATCAGTATGCCACGAATTCATTTGCATTGAACAAGCACCAGCACAGGGAGGACCATGACAAGAGACGACATCTCTCGCATAAATTCTGTCTGACTCCAGCTGGAGAGTTCAAATGGAATGGGTCTGTACATGGGTCCAAAGTTCTTACCATATCCACTTTGAGGCTAACTATTATCCAGCTAGAAAACAATATCCCGGCATCATTCCTTCACCCTAACTGGGCTTCCCACAGGTAAATTAATAAATGAAAAAAATCTTCTCTTGTATTTTTGCTAATAGCATTAACGAGCAGTGGTCTTTGCTTTTTGAAATTGGTGGTTTCCAAGCGCCATGCTTCAGTAAATTAAAATATAATGTGTTTGTGTGTTATGATGAATGACTAAAAGAATTGCACATCTGAGTGAAGTATTAGAATATAGGAGATTTTATCCCATTAAATCTCATTAACATAGTATGCTATATTAGTACATGTATATATTTCAGGTTATCTTTTTTCCAATTTAGGTCTAACTGGATTAAGGCTGTTCAGATGTGCAGCAAACCTAGAGAATTTGCACTAGCTCTGGCTATATTGGAATGCGCAATTAAACCAGTTGTCATGCTGCCAATCTGGCGGGAATCCTTGGGACACACTAGGTAAAAAATTATGAAAATATTTTTTTATATATACGTATATCTCATATACATTATACATGTATCTTTTTTGAGTATGAGAACTTCGCTGTTTTACAGTTACTAGTTTTTCTATACCTGTATGAATTACATTCAATTTCAGTCTGTTGTATTCAGCACTTAAAAATAGTGTTTTTTCTCAAGCAGAAAAACTGAAAATACATGAAAAGATTTCAGTAGTGTCCCTGCTGCTGTAAAGCAAGTTTGTTTTCTTTCTGAGCTAGTCTTCAAGTGTGGAAGACTAGAAAAGCAACTTTCAACACACTGAGTTTGGTAGAGTCTGTCTTTCGTTTTTCATTGCTCTGTAAAAGAAGAAATTAACTTTTTGATGTAGGTATGGTTGCAGGCAGCTGTCTGCCTTATCAAAATAGCCAAAAAAAGTAGTGTTCATATTACGGTTAGTACATGTATGTTGTTTGACTTCTTATATTTGTTTACAAGATCCTGTGCTTAAATATATTCAAAAGTACTTACATCTGTGTTTATTAGATTACGCAGAATGACAGCAATAGAAAGAGAAGAAAAAGAAAAAGTGAAAAAAAAAGAGAGAAAACAAGAAGAAGAAGAAACGATGCAGCAAGCTACATGGGTGAAATACACGTTCCCTGTCAAACATCAGGTAAGGTTTTATTTTGCATGAAGACCAAACTGTCAATTTCTTTTTTTTTTCTATTTTCTTGGACTTACATAAATGTCAATTAGCGCATTACTCCCTGTCATTGGGGTAGGAGCCATGCCCACATACTAAAGCACACAGTCTTGACATGAGGAAAGTTTGAGATTCATTGCTGTCTTAGCTACACTTCCTGATTTGGCAGATGATTATCTGCAAAATGCACTCCTTCCTAATGGAAGAGTCTTAGATGGATATTGGAATCTTGTCTGTGTCTGTTTCCAGCACTTCCCTCCTCACCCTGCCCCCCAAACCAGCTACCTTTACTTCAGAAGGTTATATAAATAGAAATCCATTTATATGGTAAACATATCTTCTACAGAAGATGGTAAATACTTTCATTGTAGTGGTTCTTCGCTCTAAATTTATTTGCTCTAATAGACATACCGGTTGATTCAAAAAGTTATATAATCTTTCAGCTTTTAGGTAAATATCTGCTTACTGTTAAATGAAGAAAATATCAATTTGCTGTTGCTGTGGTAGAATTGGCAGATGATTGGCAGATACATATTGAAAAATGATACATGATACATAATGATATATGATAAATAACGTAGATAGCATATTGACAAACTTCAGTTTGCTTGAGAAAGTAAGTAAATTAAAAGGTTAAAAAACCAAAGACATCTGATGTTTTTAAATTAATGCATACATTAACAGCAAATAGCACCATTAAAACTAATGTTTTAAAAATGTTTAACAGGTTTGGAAACAGAAAGGAGAGGAGTATAGAGTAACAGGATATGGTGGTTGGAGTTGGATCAGTAAAACACATGTCCATAGGTTTATGCCCAAGCTGCCTGGAAATACCAATGCAAATTACAGAAAGTTGCTACCAAGTAAGTGTCTGCATCACTTAGAATCTTTTTAATTACTAACATACTACCGTTTGTTGCTTTTGCAGTTAATTACATGTGTGTAATGTTTCTTGTGTAGACTTTGTTCCAGGTAGTGTTCCAGAGAAGGTTTCATGGATCTCTACTCATTATTGTCAGTATAGTTGGTTCAGTTGTCAGAGACAGTTTTTTAGCTACATAAAAATGTTTCAGTTAGGAAGTTGTGTGTAATATTGTACACCTTTAGATTTATGTAAACTAGATAAATATGTAGATAATCACATGCAAAAAATACCTAAAATATTGGTGCACGTATTCATCTCTTTTTCTACATTGACATAATACTATTAACCAATTTTGTCTGTAATTTTGTCTTACAGTGTTGTAAGGGGGGAAAAATGATTTTTTCTAGAAAGTTCAAAACACCTTATATCTTTTAAAATAAAACCTTGGGATCAATAAGTGTGTTGCACAGTTAACTTCTAGAATGTATCCTGAACTGCTGAAGTCTTATTTGTAATTCTTGAGTTTCCTTTTACGTTTCAGAAAACAGTGGTTCTCGTTATGTTATATATCAAAACTTCTTTTATCACATGCTGAAGTAAAACTTCCCATGTAGTTTCTAAATGGGTCAAACACAAAATAGATGCTGCTGCTTTTTGTGTTATTTGTGTGATTGTTAAATTAGATTTATTTTTCTTTCTCAGTTGAAGTTAATGGACACTGCAGTGCCAAGCATCAAATCGCTTGAATACTAGTATTCATTCTCAGTTTATCTGTAGAAATCAAAATTATTGAAAACTATTTGTGAATTTTCAGCATATGAATGAATGCTTTTATTAGGCTGTTTTTTTCAGAAAGTGATATTTAATTTCCTGGAAAAGTTGTCTCAGAAAAGCTGAACATGAACTCCTGAAACAATAGTGGAAACAAAGTATTTTATCCCTGGTGGGCCTTTAGGTATTTTTTATTCAGTATTGCAGGAAGCTTAATCTGTGATGTTACAATTCTATACTGTACTGTATTTCTGAATTTCAGTAATGTGCAAATGATGTAAGTGGTAAACCAAAATACATTAAAATGTAGCAGGTGATTGTTTTGTTGTTGTTTTTTTTTTAATAACTGAAACCATGTAATTAATCTGTTAATAGCAAAAAATGAAGATGAAAAATGCAACTTGGATAAACGAAAAGGTTCAACAAGGGTAAAAGCAGAGAAAGATAGAACAAAGGATTCTCACGATCTGCAAGCAAAGGAGAAAGCAGATGCTTCAGAAACCTTGGAGAAAGTCAAAGAAGAAAAGTCAGGTGAAGAAAAAGTAGAAACTGATACAAATTCTGAAAACTCAGATCATGCAAAAGACAAAGGTGATATACATAAATTGTTACAAAGCTAGTTATTCATTGCAACACTGTGTGTGTAAAAGTGTATGACCTCATAAATAACTATTTAAAAAAAACTGTAACAGATTTTGTCCAGACATCTAAAATGTCTCAATTAAGTGTTAATTATCCCTTGTAGAAATGTATAGAGTGTTCGTTCCCATTTCTTGAAATGTATTAATGTGCTAAAAGGTGCATTTAATTCTTAGTACTTAATGTAAGAACATGCTTTTGGTACTCATTGTTAGGGGAGTTTACTGATTTGGAATTATTCTTCACAGTGGAAAAAGAAATTGATGGAGAAAATGATAAAGTCATCAAGGAAGAGCCTATGGATATTGATGATGTGAAAATTGAATCCCCGATAAAAGATGAGGATACTCATTGTAAGCTTGATATAATCAATGTCAGCGAAGGTTTTCATTTAAGGACTTGCTACAAAAGGAAAGTAAAATCATCAAAATTAGATGGACTACTTGAGAGGCGAATAAAACAGTTTACACTGGAAGAAAAACAACGTCTAGAAAGGATGAAACTGGAGGCTAGTGCTAAAAATGGAGGCATTCAATCTGTAAGTCCCCAGAAAAAAATAGATGAGCTACAAATGAGAAAAGTAAAAGAAGGAAGCCAATTTGACATGTCTTCCCAAAATCAAACCTATCTTTCTGATAAAATCCAAACTGAAGATACAAGACAGGACAGCTTGCCAGTCAGCAGCATCTCTTGTACAAAAACTGAGGAGCTAGATGAGCCTTCATTGCCTTCAACAAATAGGCTATCAAAAAGAGAAGGGCAGCTACTGGATGAGGACTCACCTCAGTCCTCTGAAGGTGAGTCCTCTGTTCAGAATGATAGCAAAGAGAACAACTCCAAACCTGGGACTGCTGATAAATGTCAAGGACAAGAGGCTCTTAAAGAGTGTGAGACTTCCTTTGTGGATGGCTTGAAACAAACAAATGCAGATGGTAAAGTCAAATGGGATGTTCTGGAAACAAATGAAAGACCTTTGAAACAAAACCTACCTATTGCCAGAGTATCTCCGGGTGAATGTGAAAACTCAGAGCCAGTGATAACTGAAAGCAGCTGTAGAAAAGATGCTCTGGCCATTTTAGAAAAAACAGACTCAGAAGGGAATTCTGAACAGCAGAGCAAAGATCCAGAAAACAATTGTACGATAAAAAGCCATTATGAACCAACATCCTTACAAGAAGGTGAAATAGGGGAAAACGTTACTCCAAGAAAGACTGAAAGTAAATCTGAAAATAAGATTCGATTTCACCAAAAATTGGTGAGTAAAGATTTAGAATCACTTAAGACAGAACTGAATTCTGAAAGAAACCTTGAAGGTCAAACTCTGGAACGTGCAGATAGGACAGAAGTTGATGAGGAACTACTGAGCTCTAAGTTAACAGAGGCTAATGGTCAAAAGAAAGATCAAGAACTGAAAGTGGAGGCAAGTGCCATAAACAAATACCTTGATCAAACAAATGTAAATTATGTTACTGACAAAAAGAATAACAAAGATGATGTAACTGAGATGGACTTAGAAAAAGATAAATCTGCACTCCAAATGAATGGAAAAGACAGTGATGCTAAAGTACTATCAAATGATGAATGCTTAGTTAAAGATACCTGTGAAGCTACAGCAGGAGATGATACTGAACCAAAAATTAATAATATTAATAAATCAATTCAAGAGCATGAAGTAAAAGCATTGCCGTTTAGGGAATCTTCGATAAAACCATTCATGAATGGTGATATAACGACAGAGGACACAATTAACAAAAATACCATGGACCCAAAGTCATCTCTGCAGAATTCACCTGAGTTTGAAGCTGGAGACAGTCTTCAGCCATCAGATGAAGTTCTGAAGTATGTGCAGAAAGCTGAAGAAAAACAGCTTTCTCCTCAAAGAGCTGCCTTTATTGGTGCTGCTTCCACACCAACAAATACTTTATGTAAAGAAAATAACCTGAGTAGTGAAACAGAATCTATGGAAACTGAACTTAGTGAGGAGAAGAAAGTTGCTCCATCGCCTGTAACGTCATGTGAGGAATCTAGTTTGAGTAGTGACTTTGCTGATCAGAATGGTCTACAGGCATACAAAGTGGAAAATGTTAATGGAGAGAATAAAACAAAAACTGTTATTACTGAGGTGACTACCACAACATCAACTGTTTCTACAGAATCCAAGACTGTCTTTAAAGTTGCAGAGACCCTAGCATCTAACGATGAGAAAACAACAGTAGTATCATCTACAGAAAATTGTGCCATATCCACTGTAACTACCACCACCACTGTAACTAAGCTTACCACTCCAGCTACAAACAGTAATGTTGATGTCATTTCTGTACAAGAGCATAGTAAAACAGTGATTACAACAACAGTAACTGATTCGCTGACCACCCCAGAAGGCACATTGGTGACTTCCATGACTGTCAGCAAAGAGTATTCTACAAAAGACAAAGTGAAGTTAATGAAATTTGCAAGACCCAAAAAAACTCGTTCTGGAACTGCCTTGCCATCTTACAGAAAATTTGTAACCAAAAGCAGTAAAAAAAGCATATTTGTTTTACCTAATGATGACTTAAAAAAGCTGGCCAGAAGAGGAGGGATCAGAGAAGTTCCCTATTTCAATTATAATGCAAAACCTGCCTTGGATATCTGGCCATATCCATCCCCAAGACCAACTTTTGGGATCACTTGGAGGTATGTACTTAGTTATGTTCAAATTTTTGGCTTTGAAAGAAGTTCTTGAGCAGCCCTGTTCCACAAAAATAAACATAGTTAAATTATAATTTAGGAAAGCCAGCACTAATAGAGAATCCTTATCTGGTTTTGGCCACCAGAAACTTCTGTTGGGAAGATCTTTACAAGGACAAGTTCAGTTTGTTGATAGTGTAGGTGAAGTCATACAGAAATCTAAGGGCCAGTTAAGTTGTGTACCAGAACACTGAGGTATCTGTGGCACTCCGTTTTTCAGGTTTGCTTCCCATTTTATTCTAGAAAATGTCATATATCCAAGCCACACAGCAGACTATAAAACATTGTCACTGTAAGACTCTTCTGGTATCAAACAGTTATTTGATTGTGCCCTTTGAAGCTATGAGAAGAAAGCAGCAGAAAATTTCCAGTTCATAAACTCTCATAGCAGTGAGTGGAAATGGAGCGTTGTTTTACCTGTGGCCATCAAGCTGACGGAGTATTTTAAAGAATACTGTTTCCACTGAATCTTCAAATAGCCATAATTAAATGGGGTTCACTTCCATTAGATTTTTTTGTTCAGACTCTGGATTGATTTGAATAAGCTTGGATATTGATGCTCTTGTCCATAATAAATTTGGGGTTTGTGAAGTGACACGAGTTTTACATCTAGGATTGGATAACCATACTGTGTTTTTTTTGTTTTGTTTTTTGCTGTTGTTCAAACCCTTTACCTACCTTTTAATTCTGAACTTCCTTCTTAGAATTTTCGAAGAGCACTTTTCCTTGAGTTATAAAATCAAAACCTCTTGCATGGTTGGCTAGAGTGGAGCTGTTATAAATTTTGCTATTATTTAAAAAAAAATGTATATATTGTTCAGTAAAAGTAGAACAGAAGACCTGTCTCATTGGTTTGGTTAGGTTTATTAAATACATTTTTACTTTAAAATATAATTAATGCTCTTTTGTTAGATACCGACTTCAAACAGTGAAATCATTGGCTGGAGTGAGCCTTATGTTGCGGTTACTGTGGGCATGTCTCAAATGGGATGATATGGCTGCAAAAGCTCCACCTGGGGGAGGAACTACACGTACAGGTATCTTTTCTTTAAATTTCTGTGTTTCCTAATGTAACAGCTCTTGCTGTTAATTTTGATTATTACTTTAATTCCAAGCCTTTCTGTAAAGGTTTGATGTTCGCTATGGCACTTGATAGATCTATAGGTAGAGATTTTAACAGCGAACAGTTTGCACTGTAGTTGTTATTTCTTTACCTTGAGTGTATTGGATTGATAGGAGGTTCAGCTTTTATTTGTTTTCTGCTATTAACGTGTTAGGACTAATCTGTTGTAGAAACATCTGAAACAGAAATTACAACAACGGAAATAATCAAGCGAAGAGATGTTGGCCCATACGGAATCCGGTCAGAGTACTGTATAAGAAAAATTATTTGTCCCATTGGTGTGCCAGAAGCTCCAAAAGGTACCTTTGTTTATACATTTTTCCCCTCCCCATAAGCTCCTACAGAAATTAAGGTAACTGGACCTTTATGTTAATTCAGATGATCATAGGAGCAAATATAGCTTGACATGAACTATTCATTCTCCTGTGTAAAGCAAATGATGCATGTAACAAACTGACTTGATCTCTCTGAAGCTGGAAGGCATTTCTGTTTCTAAAATGGGACAGATACTAAATCTTGGTTTATGCTTCAGTTTTGTTTTACGGTTGAGCTTAATGCGTGTGTTTTGACGGTTCTCTAAAGAAACTCCAACACCCCAGAGGAAGGGACTGCGATCAAGTGCTTTAAGGCCAAAACGGCCAGAAACACCCAAGCAAACAGGCCCTGTTATAATTGAAAGTTGGGTGGCAGAAGAGGAATTGGAATTATGGGAGATCAGGGCGTTTGCTGAAAGGTAAACCAACTCAAACTTTTTTTTTTTTAAAAGGTTTTTATTTTTGTGTGCATGTTAAATAAAAGTTCCCACTAGATAGCACAAACTAGATGAGCTTTTACTGGTTGTAGCTGAGTGTTGCGTTTTTTTCTGTGCCTTTTGTTATGTTAAAGTTAGGTTAAAGTTGTAAAACAATTGTTTGCTAATACTAAAACTGAATTTATGCAGGTATATTAGATTTGTTAGAGCTATTTTTTTATTAATTATTCCAGTCTTATGAAGTAATCAGTGTTGTATTGCTAAAAGGCTATTATTATAAAGCATGGAAAGACGGGTTTTAGGCTACTTTTTGCGTGACTTCAAACAGTGTGTGTTTAAATACTTCTATAATACAAATAAAATTGTATAGAAGTATTTTGAGTAGAGGTGAATTCAGTCTGAGGATATTCAAGTCAATAAAGTATTTTCAATATTTCATACTTAAGTGTTGAAACAACTTTGAGTCCCTTGAGAAGAATTGTTTTAAATTAATGGTGACATATAGATCATATTTTCAGTCTCAGATATAATTATGAATTCCAGTTTTGGATAATAGCTTCTTGTAAGGTGTTGTAGTAGTTTTGCATCAGAGTATTTCAGGAATGTTGCATGCACTTTCAGTAGCTTATTTCAAAATACTTTTAAAACTGTGACCAGTTCTCAGTGATCTTCAGACATGACAGATGTTCCTAAATGAATCTAGGTCGATGGATGGATTTTATGTGATGGTTTAACTCTTTTTTTTGGTTGTGTGTCTTTGGCAGGGTGGAGAAGGAAAAGGCACAGGCAGTTGAACTACAGGCTAAGGTTAGTGAACAGAAGAAGGCAGGCGAATTCAAGGCCCAGTTGGAGGCTCAACTAAAACAGCAACGATTGGCTGCCCAGCAGGTGGGGGAGCTATTGGTAGTCCCACCTGTCTTGCACCATTTTTCAGTTTTAGAAACTCAAAGTTCTGGGAAGCCAGCTTCTCTTAGTCATCAAACAGTGCTGCTCCCCCTGTATGCGTTCATTATTTTGAAACAACATTAAGGCAAACATTTGTTTAATAATTAGATTCCCATTTTTTTTCTACCTAATACAGAACACTTTAAAAAAATAATCTATTTTTTTCCCAATTTTATAAGAAATCTGAGAAACACTAGTCTCCAGGTAAGATCAACTGTGTTGTGTGGTTTAATAGAAAGGTGTCTTGGTACATAGCTGACTTGGGAATACAGCTGAATTTATTTCCATGCTCTAATCACATTGAATCTTTTGATTTTTATCTTATCTAAAGTTGGCCAAATGAAGCCCACAAAGAATTTGTTATAAAATTCAGTTACACATTTGTATATGCACATTTACATGTGTGTATAACTAGAGCAGTGCTTTTTCCATCCTGCATGTTTTCATTACATCTTCCCTAACCAAATACATTACTAGTGAATGAGTTTTTCCGATTCGCAATAACAACCTCAATGTACTGATAATTAATCACCGAAATATAAATATAATGTTTTTCTCTATCTTAATGTAATTAAATAGTTGGCATTGTAATAGACCTGACTGATACTGCCCCTCTGTAATGTGGCTCTCTAAATTCAAAGTACCTTTTTGACAGTCACAGCAGAGAATGTTGCTGGATGAGGTGAAGGATTTTAAACCTGATTTTTTAAGCAAGTTACAAATTGAATTTACGGAGAATAATTTTAAAAATTATAATCTTGATGTTTCATTTGGTGAAGTAGGATGATAGCCTTTCTTTCTCCAGCTGTGGCAGGATCTCAGTACAGGCAGCTCTGAACTTGAGAGTGCCAGTAATGAACTCTGACGGTGTATCGCTTATGGAAGTACATAGAGGCTGTATGCACACTGTCAAAGCCAAGTTTAGATAAATACTTTTCGATTATTTTCTTAACCTTTTGGATTAGTCTGTGGCTAATCAATATGTTTTCTTTAAAATGTGTATGGAAATTAACAAAAACTGAGGATTTTAAAGATGCTATAAAGGAAAATTTCTGGTTGCGTACTCTAAGCAGAGTTGTAGTTCTGCAGGTCAAGGAGTCTGTGTGCTTGTCGTGCTTTGGGATATTCAAAGAGCTTACTCTTCATTCCTTTAAACCTGAACTAAAATCCTACCAGGGTCCTTTATTTTTCAGTACTGACAAGACAGCCTTTTTTTTTTTTTTTCCAAAATCTGAAAATTCTTCATTTAATTTTTTTCTAAATTCTGTAGAAACGGCTGGAACAGCAGAAGCAGATACCTGTAGCAGGCGTGGTCCCCACAGTCACTACAGCCAGCAGTACTGCAACTACTGTCTCAACTCCACAGAAAGTTGTGGTAGGCCCTTTAACGGGCCCAGTTCCCACTGGAACAAAAGTAGTCCTTACTACAAAAGTGGGTTCTCCAGCTACAGTAACATTCCAACAGAACAAGAATTTCCATCAGACTTTTGCTACTTGGGTTAAACAAGGCCAGTCTTCAACAGGTAAGTAGCTGTACATTATGGAAAGAACGTGTAACTAGGATGAATTCCAGCACACATCCTACCTACATCCAACACCTACATCTCCAGAATATAGCATTACTGCATTTTGTGTCATCTTTGCTCTAAACTCTCTTGCTATATCAGCAGGACACTTCTGAAATAAAACCTGTCTAATTTTTCTTTGTTCAGACTTGCTAGGTAGTTGTATTTCTGACCTTTCTCATGACTGACAGCTGTTTTACCAGTAATCATTGATGACGAAAGCATTCTATTCTGTAATGTACTGTTTCCTAAAAAGTCTTTACAAAAGCAAGAATGATACATTTGAAAACACTGTAAAAATAATCCTGAAGTTTGCTGTTTCATACTTGAAAATAGTCATATTCTTGACTAATTTTTCTGCTCTAAAATTGACTGTTCTGTGTACCTCAATAGCCACTAGCACAGCTGCCACTTCAGCCACAACCATTGCCAGCACAGGGCAGACCTTCCAGATCTCAGGCAGTCCAGTAACGATGGCAGGGAAAGTGATAACTAAGCTGCCACTCCCTGCAAACAGCAAGATTGTTGCCGTCAATGTGCCATCAACTCAAGGAGGTAGGGGAAGGGGAACTGAATTGAAATGTATTCCAGCTTGCTGTTTAATTCTCCATTGACACTATTTTCCCAGTGAAGTAAACTTTGTCTTGAAGGGGGAAAAACTTATGTAAGAGTTTCTAGAGCTTGTTCCCCCTGTATTGCATATTTGTGTGTCTAGGGGAAAAATGCAAGTATTTTGCCTGTAAATTATTTTACATTTCATAGTACAAAATTAGAAGCTCTATTTTTAGAATGTGGAATGAAGCATGTTTTTTTCATTATCTACATTATATTACCAACAAAATAACTTTCAAAAAAAAAAACCTGCTGCTGTTCTTAATTATTAATACCTGTATTTTGGTTCCAAATTAAGATCAGCATTTTCCTTTTTGACTTGGGAAGAGAGCTTCATATTTTGAGATTTTATGAATGTATATTAAGTAGAAAAGCTTGATTCTCTGTCTCCATTCTCCTTAGCGTCTGAGGAAATCATGAAGGCTACCAGTTTTATACTGAAGTTTCTTAGGTGACAGAAAAAGCAATATCAATTTTCTTTGGCACTATGAGCTTGTAGGTGAAAGGCTTAAACTGGTCTCCTCCTTTTTAAATGAATCAGACTGTAACTTTTGCTTAATGGTTGTATAATACTAACTTTGTGGCACCATGTCATGCAAGGACTTGTTTGCAGTTACCATCAAACTGATCTTTATGAAGATTCACTCTTTCCTTAATCTTTTCTAAAATACCTGTTGCTTAACTTCAAATGTAGCTGAAAGTATAATTCTGCTTCCATTTACAATGTGACAAAGCTTCTCCCAGGAAGTGTTAAAAGATTCAAAGGTGTTCTAGAAACCTGGAGACTGGTTTCTGAATGCCAGCCTGGAGTTGTATTTACTTCTTCTGCTGGCAATTATGTTACTAATGAATTCTCAATTTTACTTTATTTAGGTGTTGTTCAAGTTCAGCAAAAGGTATTGGGCATCATTCCATCAACAACAGGTGCAAGTCAAACATTCACTTCATTCCAGCCAAGGACAGCAACTGTAACAATTAGGCCAAATACCACAGGGACTTTAGGAACAACAAGTACTTCACAAGTAAGATGTCTTTCTGATTATTTAATACAAAAATTTGGAATATGTATATTTTAAGTTAGTGGCAGATGTTATAACTAATATGTAATATAGTTATTTGTGGTCACTTTTCAACATATATATTAATATTATTATTTCAACATATATTACTTTTAGTGAAAAAAAATAATTAGAAATAATCAGAAATAATGTTAATGGATTCTTTATTTCCAGGAGGCAGGAGGTACATCAGTTCTCTCCAATTTGAAAAATTAGTATCTTAGCTTGGTAAGCCTTATTAGTGTGGGCGTAAGTGGAAAAAATACTGGATCTACTTCTGTGTTCTCATTTCTTACTATGTTAAAAGAAGAAAAAAAAATACTTAAAAGAACCCAGGGGGATGCATCCTTATAAGTTTACATATGCTCTCCATTTTGATGTGTGTAGGTAATGCAAGGGACACCACTCCGTCCTGGTATGACAGTAATACGCACACCACTTCAGCAGTCAACACTTGGAAAAACCATCATTCGAACACCTCTAGTGGTGCAACAAGGTATTCTTCCAGCCAGTAGGTTCATTTTGATATTTAAATTTCCAGTGCAAAATCCATGGTTTGTTTTGTTATAAATACTTTCTGCATCGTATGTCACAATGCAAAAATGTCTCATTTCAATGCTTGACTTCTGACAAGTGTTTCTTTTTTGGCTTTTAAATATGTTGGTTGCAGGCTTTGTAAGTATTAACCATCAATATTGGGAAATGTACAGGTTAAAATTAAGTCCATTTGTTTGGAAGAAAAAAGTTTAGAACAACTTTGTATTGAGAAAACCTTTTCAGCTTTTTTTAAAAAAAAAGCTGAAGTTCCTCGTAAGTACATTACTTGAATGAAAATAGAAACATTTTGTAGACCTTTGTCAATCATAGAAATGGTTTCTAATGGAAATTTATGTGCAAACTGGAGTGCTTGCTTCACTTGTTTGATAATACACTATTGCAAGAAGTTGTGGTTCAGAGGTTTGCAGTGCTAATGGTTGAAATACTAAAAACGATTTTTTTATCACAAATTACTCTCTTACAGGTCAGACACAGCAGGTGGTGACTCAGATAATCAGAGGTCAGCCTGTCTCAACAGCAGTTTCTAGTACCAGCACAGCTTCTTCCAGTTCTGGACAGAAGACAGTAACAAGTCCTGCAACACCACCTCAGCAAATACAGCCACAAACCACATCGCAGCCCCCTCGACCTCAGCAGGGACAAGTGAAACTTACTATGGCCCAACTCACACAACTAACACAAGGACAGGTAAAATATTTTAGATCCTCTGGGCATGAAAATGTGCTAATGCTTGCAATATATTTTCACAGGTCTCTTGATTTCAGCAGTGAGTGTATCTGATCATATTTTTACATTCTTGGTTATGTTTCAGCCTTCATTTAGGATAACTGATAGCATAATTACAGACTGAAAGAAGCATATACACAGTGTATTTCTAAATATTGTATTCCTTAGTAGTATAACTAGCATTAGGAAAAATTACCAGTATAGAAAAATATCTTTGCCTTAACAGCAGTAAGGGATGTAATTATTATTTTTATGGCCTATTTTTGAAACCTTCAGAACGTAATGTTTGTTCCTTGTCTTTTGATGTTGTATGAAGATTCGGTTTTGATTTGTGTTGTCCTCAGTCTCAGAAGAAAAAGTCTCTGGAACTGGAGGAGGAAGGAGTATTTAGAGCTTCTGCTCAGATCATGAAGTAGAAAAATCTAGGCAAAAAATAAATTTAGAAGCACCCATAGGGTAAATACAGGCTTCTGTGAATTACCGTAATAACTATTCTTTAAAAATATTTATAGAATATATATCTTTGTAGTGTATGGCCTGCTTGTGGTCAGTTTAGATTTTTCTATGTACAAGAGTCAGAGAGTTCACTTCCATTCTCTAAGACTTGGAAGAATTTCTGTAGGGACCTCATTCTGTTCTATGGAATCACAGAATGTATAAATAAGCACCTAGGTGTTATGGTGATACCCTGCCCTCTCTATTTCAACTGAGAGCACTGTCCTGAGACAGACCATACATAACTTCTTAAAATCATCGTAATGATTAAATTTTATTTGATCTTTATGAAAGCATAGCTATTTCTGTATACACTAGTGATATCTGGAAAGCTGGTATCCAGAGCATCAGCTTAAGCAACAGAAATTTATAACACATTGCAAACAGAATAGTCAGTCATGAAAGCTCACAGTTGGGCTGGATCTGACAGCCACTGAGGAAACCTTTGCACTGCAGAGAATTTTTACATAAAATGGTTGGGATTCTTGAGGAAGTGATTAATGTCTAAAATTATCCATGCTCTGCTTTGTTTTTAAATTCTAGGAACAAAGATTTTCCATTTTAGCTGCTTTCTGGCTAGGATTCTTGTTAATATTTGGGTGAAAATATTTGTTACTATCCCCAGCCCAGTAATTTGTTGATAGAACTGTTGGAAGAATATTTTACTATTTCATGATCTTGGATGCTGCTTTTGGGTTTTAGGAAAATATTATGCAGTAATTTTTTTGTAAAAGTAATGACCTCTGAAATCTGAAATCCTAATTCTTCTGATTTTGAGGAAGGTCTTGCTAAGAATTGTATCACTAATACATCAATATTAACTTTTTTTCAGGGTGGCAGTCAAGGATTAACTGTGGTAATTCAGGGACAAGGTCAAACTACTGGTCAATTACAATTAATCCCTCAGGGTGTGACTGTAATACCTGGTCCAGGACAACAGCTTATGCAAGCAGCTATGCCAAATGGTACAATTCAGAGATTTCTTTTCACCCCACTACCAGCAGCTGCTACTACAGCTAGCACAACCACAACAACAGTTTCCACTTCAACCTCAGGTAAGCATTGTTCTTTTCAGCAGAAAAAAAAGACTTCCGTTTAGGTTATACTGGCCTTTTTGTGCAGCTGGAGAAGGTATCTTATAAAAGTAAATTTGTTAGAAACATTACAAGGCAATAAATAATTTGCTCTTTCTGCATAGAGCTATACAGTAATTTTAAAGTGTTCACCTTTAGTAAGGCTCATAGACTTGTCATTTGAAGTGAGTGAAATATTTGTTTTAATCCTGAACAGCTACAGAACAGAAACAAGCTCCACAGACACAGCCAACATCAGTGCTGCCATCAGTTCAGCCACAGCCTCAGAGTCAGCAGCAAGCCCAGCCTCAAGCGCAGAATCAGAGCGCTCAGCCTGTGACCCCAGCCCAGCCTCAGGCAGCACAGCCACCACTTCAGCCTGAAACTCAGACCCAGCCTGAATCTCAAACTCCAGCATCTGTTGACTCTCCAGTCACGCCTGAAGCACAATCGTCTAAATCTCCAGTTCAGTCGCCAGCACAGACCCAGGCTCAAGGGCAATCTCCAGCGCAAGTCCCGAGTCAGCCGCAGACTGCAATCCTTCCACAAGGCCAGTCCCAAGGCCAGCCCCAGCAACCAGCTCAGGTGCAGACTCCAACCCAACAACAGATTCAGATGCAGCCCCATGCTCCCATACAAATTCAAGCTCAGCTGCAGCAATCACAACCTCAGGTTCAGACTTCAGTCTCAACCCTTCCAACTACTCAAAGTTTAAATCAGGTTCCTGTGCAATCCCCAACTCGTCCTCAGCTGCAACTTCAGCAGCCTCCAACAAAAGTTATTACAGTGCCTCAGCTTCAGCAACAAGTCCAAGTTCTCTCTCAGCTTCAGTCACATGTTGTGGCTCAGATACAAGCCCAACAAGGCAGTGTGCCCCAGCAGATCAAGCTTCAGTTACCTATTCAGATTCAACAAACTAGCCCAGTACAGGCTCACCAGATTCAGAATGTGGTAACAGTACAAGCAGCTAGTGTTCAGGAGCAGCTGCAGAGAGTTCAGCAGCTCAGAGAGCAGCAACAGAAGAAAAAGCAGCAACAGATAGAAATTAAACGTGAGCACACCCTTCAGGCTTCTAATCAAAGTGACATTATCCAGAAACAGGTAAAGTTAACAGAAGGAAATTAAAACTTAATTAATGAAAGAAATCTAATTTTAAATGCCTGTTCTTGTTACCGATGTTAATACATTTGATAGGCAGTTAATTTGATTCTTTCAAAGTTAGTGCACGATTGGTTTTGGCAATTTAATGAAATATTCTAAGTTAATTCAGCACATCAAGTCAGTTGTATGATGTTTGCAGTCTTCTGACACCTTGATTCAACTTATCACTAGCTGCTGGGACAATATATATTTATTCTCAGTTCAGGAAAGATAGGTTATAGACAGGAGAGATGATGTAGAACATCAGTCTACAACAGAACATCAGAACACAAGTACAGTACTTTTGTTGCCTGCTATAGGGAACTGAGGTTTCAAAGAGGTATCTGAAATGTAATGCTGTTGGATGGCTGCGGGGCTTTAAAAACAAACAAAAACCAACATATATGTGTGTATGTATATATAATAGATTCTTACCTTAAAAAAAAAAAGTCACTGAAGAATATTGTCAACTTACATTTAGTCCCTAGGTTTAAACTCTGCATAAGGAAAATATCCTACTCTGGGGGTGGAGGTGGTGTTAATTTTTAATTTAATTTTTAAAATTTTTGAATTTCAAATAATTGCTTTAAGCAAGTACTGCCCTGATAAAATTCATTTCATGTTGTCACTTACTGAAATAAATAATACTTCAATTTTTTCCTTTATCTCAGGAAATGTCCTGGTTTTCCCAGTAGTATTGTGAAATACTGGCCAGAATTTTCACATTTTGTTTTGGATTCTCTATCATCCTACAGGTGGTTATGAAACAGAATGCTGTCATAGAACACTTGAAACAAAAGAAGACCCTGACTCCAGCTGAGAGAGAAGAAAATCAGAGGTGAATATGCATCATGGTGCAACTTTAGATGTGGAAGTTTTTCATTTAGAACATCATTTAACAGTCTATAATAAGATACTGATTTGTTAAAACTTCCTTGAAGAGACTTTGCTATGTAAAATTTGGTTAAAGTAACACTTGAAAGTAGTTGGTGAGAGCTGTAACTCAAAATGATGTTCTTAACTTTAAATAATTTAATCCTCTATATTCTCAATTTCACTTTAATTTCATGTTTTTAAAGTTAAGTGTTGCATGCTTGTGTCTGAAGCTGACTACAGTTTTTAAATTCAAGGTAAAAACCATCCTTAAAGATCATGGAATGGAGAATGAACCATTCTGTTGCAGAAAATCCTGGTTTTTATCTGTCCTTTAATGTGGTAGTTTATTTCCATTTTTGTCCCTCGGCATTACTGTGTCTCATTCTAATTCTGTACATCTCACATCCCACTCTGCAGAAGGAATTGAAGAGTTAGAAGATAGTACTAATCAACAAGCTAAGAGATTTCACACCTGAAGCTGCTAAACACAAAATTGAAGTGTTTGCCAATAGTCTTAAGGTTATTTTGACATTGCCTTGCTCTTGTAGTTGTTTCAGTTGGATAACTGCAAGTGTGTGCTGTCAGCTATTAAGAAAAAAGTAGCATTTTTATAAAATTCTGATTATCAAATCAAGGTGCAATCTTAGTTGATTACAACAGTACCACTAAGTGCTGCTTGCTTCACAATTTCATAAAAAGGTAAAGTTTTGTCCTATACTCTTCATTTAATGGTGTCAGATAGCCAATTTGATATTTTGACTTGGATTTCTGTCAGTCTTTAAAAAAAAAAAAAAAAAGTGCTAACTAACTTGGTCCATTATACAGTTGTCTTTCCTCCTCACTGCGTTTTTCTCTTCCAGAAATTTACTTTTGGTATCTTACTCTTTTTTTTTTCTAGTTTTCCAACAAGTTTAAAATAGAACAGAAAGGGAAATCAAAGCACTTTCATCTTCTTGAAATATAAAGCAAAAGTGTAACGTACAGAACAAGTGAGCGGGAAAAGATTTGTAGTTGGGTGTACAACAAACATGAAAAAAGAACCATGAGTTGTCAGTAGTGAAGAAATTTGGAACTGTTTTATAATATTCAGTTCTATAAGCTGAAAAATATTTGTCAATCCTCATGCCAAAACATAAAACCTTTGCAATATTTGGTGCTCAGTAGAGGGTAAAAATCTATGTTTTGGAACAAGCTACAGGTTTCCAACTTGCTTTTATCCCACATAAGAATTTAAAAAAATAAATAAAAAACACAGCTCTTTCAAATGTGTTTGTGGAAACTGAACTCAGTGAAAACATCTCTGATCATTATGAAGTTCTAAGCCTTGTTTGGAGTTTTAAAGGGGAAGGGGAGGAATGATTAGTACTCAAATCAGTTAAATGAAACTGGGACCAGCCCTCTTTAACCAAAGTATTGACTTGATCTCTCAAAGGGGTGATCTAGTAAATAAGAGTGAGTGGAAATAATATGTTATTAAATCTACCATTTATGTTTTAAGAAATGTAATAATTCAGCTTGCAACTTGCAGAGACTAGACAAATTATTCTGCATTCTCAACTGGGAATTAATAGGCAGCTCAGCACAATGTACTTTTTCTTTCGTTCATCACCAGAATGATTGTATGCAACCAAGTGATGAAATATATTCTGGATAAGATAGATAAAGAAGAAAAGCAGGCAGCTAAGAAACGAAAACGAGAAGAGAGTGTGGAACAGAAGCGTAGTAAACAGAATGCTTCCAAGTTGTCAGCTCTACTTTTCAAGCATAAAGAACAGCTGAAAGCTGAAATATTGAAAAAAAGAGCACTTCTGGACAAAGAACTACAAATTGAAGTGCAGGTAAGGACAGTTACTCTCAAACTAATGTGATTTTAAGCTGGGGACATTGGTGTTAATTTCGTGTTTTCTCAGTGTGCTTTTAAGGAAACATAGGAGGAAGTTCTGGTTTTGTATGCATGGATCTCTGCAGAGGTAGTAATGTTCCTTTCGTGCTTTTTGTTTCTCATCTGTGATGAAATTAACTTGTTTCCTGAAACAGTTTCTGATATACTGCAGCCAATGGGTCACAGTAAGCCAAGAGCATCACCTGCTAATGTTGTATGAATTGTAGGCTGTGAATATTTTAAAAATGTGTACATTTAAATGTCTTAAATTATTTTCTGTTGATCATTCACGGGGATTTGTCTAGATTTTAAATTCTGTTCTGGAATAGTCATATGAAGTGCTTCCCTCTCTATTTATCCATTTAATATACTTCAGGAGGAGCTAAAGAGAGACTTGACTAAAATTAAGAAAGAAAAAGAAAAAGCCCAGGCAGCTGCTGCTGCTGCAGCAGCAGCCGCAGCAGCGGCAGCTGCAGCAGCTGCCACCCCACCACCACCGCCACCACCACTGCCACCGCCACCACAGCAACATGCAGCCAGCGTCACCTCCTCCTCCTCCACCACGGTCCCAATGCCAGTATCCTCCCAGAAGAGAAAGCGAGATGAGGAGAGAGACTCGTCAGCTTCCAAGTCCAAGAAAAAGAAAATGATTTCTACTACCTCAAAGGAAACAAAGAAGGACACAAAGCTTTACTGCATCTGTAAAACGCCTTACGATGAGTCTAAGTGAGTAGTGAACACCTTGGGCTTTTACTGTGGATTGTTAGATTTAGGTTAGCATTTAGCTGGTAGTATAAGTTAGTTCTAGAACTGGAGATAGAGTATCAGGTGTTATTGCAGTGATCACTAAGGTATAAAGTTTCTCTTTTCCACTAGCAGTTACAAAGCTATTAACATACTTGATTTATACTATTAACGTATGTGATTTATATTTTTACTTGTTTGCATGTTTCCATTGTATGACCTTTCTGTCTGACATGCACATACTCTTTTTTATTTTCTTTTCCTCCGCTCTGTTATTCTTTCTTTTGCCGTTTGCCTCTGCCTCGGAAGCAAGTGACAATTTGGTTTGAGCAATTTCCTATGAACAGGTGTCTGATGTTCATTAGAAATAGTTTTGGTACCGTCTTCCAATAAATGGTGGGTTGTGATTTTTTGGTAAATCACTAGCTAGTAAAGGGGTTTCCAAGTTACTGGACTGTGCTTCACTTGGACAGTGTTTCAGGTAGAAATGGTTTTCATGTGTTACAATGTGTGTCCCAGGCTTGGTCAAAAATTGAACACGCAAGCATTTGACAAAGTGAAAACTGTGGTTCTCTGTGGTTTGATTCTGGTCATGCACAAGGAAGAATATTCCTCCGAAAGAGGAATTGCTATATGCAAAGTTTGCAAAGAAATTTAGTAAGTGGTGGTGGAAGGTTGAGTGGATTGCAGTGGGATAGTGTTATGCGTTCCTGCTTAAGCTAGAAGTGATTAACTAGCATTGTTAGTTAGTAATGGTTAACGGCTGATAGCTGTGTAGAGTTTTATGTGAAATAAATTTGACTTAGTTCCAAGGGAGTATTTACCTGCTCAACGAGTGACAATACCAAAAGGTATTAATTAATACCCTTTGGTGGTGGTTTAAATCCTGCGAACACAAATGAACCACAGGGGTGGAGTAGTGTTTTCATTCCAGTAATTGTTCTTCATCCCAAATTCAGGGTGAGGACTAAATGATCTCCTGAAGTTCCTTCTAGCCTTTTTTTTTTAATTACTGTTATTTTTAAATGAAGTTGAGGCCTTTTTTTTTTTTTCTCTACCTTTGGTGTTCAGTAACTCTGACCATTACAGTTTTGCATCGCTGTGAGAAACTATAGGCTCTCTGTGCTTCGTCACTCTGGTGTCCTGGTTTGTAATTTGCTATTGTTTCTAAAGGATGCGAATCTCACTTATCTCACTTAAAATGTTGTGTTGAGTTTACTTAATGACAGAAAACCTAGGAGGGTATCTGCTCTCGTTGTGTTGTGATACTGAGCACAGGTCTGTATGAGCGCTTTGTTGTTAGTAGGCAATAGAATTGTCACAAAAATAAGATGAGGTGAACAAATTCTGTGAGCAAAAGAATTTGATTGTTGTTTGGTGACTTCAGCGGGCATTTGAGTAAGCCAATGAATAATGTGGTCAGAGTGAATTTTGGTGGCTTGAATTAAGAACTATGCTTGTATGCAGGGAATAAAGTATCAAGACAAGGAAATGTTAATAACTTAGAGGTATCCTCAGCAATATGATTCAGTTCTGCTGCTCATCTCATAAATTCCAAATGTTACATTCTTACAAATGGTGACTGTTTTGTTAAACTAGATTATCGTTTTCCTATTTGGAAAATGATTAGGCAAATTTTAAAACCATTTCCTGGTAAACATTTTTGTGTGTGTATGTGCATACACACACTTGTAGGCATCAGATATTCCTGTTTGTGCTGGTGTCTACTTTCTACCCTAAAGAAGACAGATGTGCAGCTTGAAAAGATAATTTGTAGTGTGTTAGAAATTCCCTATATGTTCATTAGGATGTAATAAATCCACAAAAGTCATTCTGCATGGTGTTTATTATAATTCTCTTATATTTAGTTCTCACTTGTTTCACACCAGGGTTGTAGAGTTTTGCTTGTGTTGTTTCTGAGGACAGTCAATAAGGGTATCCTTTGAAGATGCTTATTTGTATTCCAACCAGTTTGTTAATGTGAAGCCTGCTCAATGTTTTAGTGGCAAGGTTCAGCATCTGTCTCTAGATAGGAGCAACTAGGCCTGGTCCCTTTTGGGAAAAGGACCTAGACTGAATTGTTGTTGAGTAAAGAAGGAGCTGTATCTAGGTGTCATTTATGGAAGGTTAATTTGTTCAGTTTTTAGGATTTTCTGACTGAAAATTAAGAGCACAGGCAGGTTTGGAGTATCCAGGGCAGACGTCCAAGAAATTAGAGGTGCTTGCTTTGTGGAAGAGTTCCTAGCTACTGTCCTGTTACTGGTGCATGCTGTCTGGTGGTTGGTGTTTATAGACTGACAGGCTGGAGGCACAGTAACCAATAAATCAGCATATTGCAGGAGCTTGATGGTCTCTCAAATTTAGGAAGGTGGAGGTTGAGTCAGCTTGCTTTTGCTTAGGCAGAGAGAATGAATGTGTAACTTTGCCCATCTGGTTGATTGTCATGAGTCACGGGTATGTTTTGAGGAATCCATACACAAAATGTCAAACATCCTTGCATAATATTTTACAGTTTTGTCACATCATTCTGTGCAAGGTCCCATCCACATGATTCTGTACCTGGTTCCCTTCACTTTGTGTCATGCCATATCTGGTTCCGTCACGTAGCTGTCTGAGAGCAGACGTTAGTCTCTGAAGAATGGTCAACATACCAATTTGCTGCAGTTCTGAGTAGCTGAATATCTCTGTTTTTCAGCCATCCCACTCCCACAAACCCGTCCCCCAATTAAAATTATGACAACCATGTCCTGACACAATTTTCTTTCGTATCATGTTATACCAATATGTATCCTACACATGGCTGGTATGCATGTTCTTTGTAGTATACTTGTAACTCCTAGTTGGTGTTTGCGCTTTGCTTTTGTTTTTTAAATTAACTGAGACCTACATTTTCAAATATTAAATGAATGTTTAAGTGGCTTTTGAGCTACAGTTTTGAAAATGTAAATCTTTTTCTTTGGCCTTGTCTTTTTGTGCCTTTTACAGTTTTTCACACACACATTGGAGACACGTTTTTAGCCCAGCTTTGTCAAAGTCTGGTTACATATTGATGTGAATTTTAATGAACTGACAGTTTAAAATTGACCCAAGTGACCTTATTGACAGTATAGCTGCAGCGTGAGATGTTAGCTTGTAAGGATAGAATGCTAGGAAGCAGGGAAAATGAGACAAAGTAGGGCCAGCAAGAAAGTGCAACAGAGAGAAATGCAGGGAAAAGTGCCATGCCATTTGAAATGACAATTACATTGTCATTTTCATTGTGAATACTTTTAGGTTCTATATTGGCTGTGATCTTTGTACTAACTGGTATCATGGAGAATGTGTTGGCATCACAGAAAAGGAGGCTAAGAAAATGGATGTGTACATCTGTAATGATTGTAAACGGGCACAAGAGGGCAGCAGTGAGGAATTGTACTGTATCTGCAGAACACCTTATGATGAGTCACAGTGAGTTCTGATAAGAACCTCTTATTTAATGTTTAGGTAGCAAACTGCTCTGACTTTGGTTACCTGTTCCTTACAAAGCAAAACGAAGTTATTCTGCATATATTGTATTCATTCATAATACGAGTTCCTTTGCAGTAATTGTCTTCCTTTCCAAAAATGTTTTTATGCGGTAAATATGTAGGAAAAGTGATGTTTTCAAGGTGGTCAAAATGTTTCTTTTAAAAACGCAACGTGCTTTAAATTGGGATTGATTTATTTTATTTTATTTTTAACACGTGAGAATTAGATTAAATGACAAATGTAGTATACAGTGGATTTGTTTTTGTGCTATAGTCTGATCTGGATAGAAAGCATAGTTTTTATGTGGGAATGTATGGTTGGTATCTCCTCTTGTAAGGTTTTGGGTCATAAATTCCCCCTTCAGTATTCGACCACAAGACTGATGCTTCCCTATGAAAAATGTTTGTACAGAATGAAACAGGAGCCCCAGTTGTAGTTGAGTTTGCACAATATGTACCTTGAATTGCTTTGGAATACTGGTTGGGTGAGACTTCTGGCATTACACTGTTCCTTTCAGATCTAAAGCAGATAAGGGGTTTTTGAAACCTTGAATGCTTGAAAGTGCATAGTATAAAACTTAGTAACTAATTTTGAAATGGTCTGTAGCTTAGCCTGTTTGTAAATTAAAAAAAAAAGAAAGTAGTTTGAATAGTGTAATTAGAATTTGTCGATATGAAATGTCACATGTTACGCTGTTGTATTTGATCATGCCAAGTATCTGCTTGTGTGCAAGGGATTGCAGGTTTATGTTTTTAAATGCAACTTTTAAATAAATCAAGCCACTAACATTTTTTTTGGATCTTGCAGATTTTACATTGGCTGCGACCGATGTCAGAACTGGTATCATGGGCGCTGTGTTGGTATTTTACAAAGTGAGGCAGATCTCATTGATGAATATGTGTGTCCGCAATGTCAGTCCACAGAAGATGCCATGACTGTACTCAGTCCGCTAACCGATAAAGATTATGAAGGTTTAAGAAGAGTGTTACGTTCTTTACAGGTGAGAGTAAAAATTGCAGCGAAGTGGAATGCTTCACTGTGTAAGACATAGCTAGTGAATCTCAGAGTAAGTTTTGATTTCTCTTCCTGTTGTTGGAATTTTTTTTAAAGGAAACAGCAAGGCCTTTATTTTTTGAGCAATGCTGTGTCAGCTGTAAATTTGACTTGGCATTACTGTGCTGAGGAATATTTGTAATTAGACTATCACTGCTTCTGAGTCAGTGAGCAATCTCTACAGTGGAAGGCCTTCAAAGGAAATAGGTTTACTTAGAGTATAAAAAGGCAGAGTGGTAGCCTAGCTGCCACTAGCAGATACATAAGGTGCAAACTTCTGTTCTCAAATTAGTTATCACCATGTAAGTGATGGCATACTAATTGATTATAAGACGTGTATGAGTCTGTTACATTATATTTTGGTTTATCCATCACTACCAGATACATCTTTTGAGCTATGACTATAAAGAATTTATATTGCTGCACAATTATTTTATTGAAATGTTTTAAAATCTTGAGCAATATTTTGCATTGTCCTGTATTTTACAGCCGTGTATGGAAACAAATTAATTCTAGAGTACTTCTAAGTGTAAAGAACGTCCCATTTCTATGTGTGAAGTGCTAAGTGCTGTCAGTAGATTCATAACATACTTCTGTAGGCAGCCTGTTCTGTACAGTATTCTGTCACCTCTGAATTTCACATTATTATTTCATGGTGTGAAGACCAACCACTCAGTCTCTCACATTGAGCTTTAAAACGTTAGCTAGTTGTTATCTGAAAGGCTGCATACCTTTCCATGTAATGCTGCATTTCTTCCTTAAATTTAATTCTAGACCCCAACAGATAAAAGTTTAATTAAAATGTTTAGCTACTAAATGATACTAATTTAACTTAATCTTTTTGTAATTACATCTTGTTTTCCTGACAGGCTCACAAGATGGCATGGCCGTTCTTAGAACCAGTAGATCCCAATGATGCACCAGATTATTATGGTGTTATTAAAGAACCAATGGGTAAGTGTTTCTGAATAATATCATGATGAATGAGGAGTGAGTAGACTTGGGATTCTGAATATCAAGTTCATTAGCCACTGGCAATTTCCATTCAGGGATCTTGAAGATATGTTTTGCAGGATACAGTTTTTTCAGTCAGGCAAACTGAGACAGTGTGGTGTCCCACTGACATAATTAATTTTTTATTATTTGTAATTTATCTTTACAGCTATATGAACAAGAATTGGTTTAAATGTTGCATATACGGAAGAAGTGGAAGAGATGTTGTAGCCTTAGTGTTTTTATTCTCATCTCATCAGACCTCACCAATTAGCTGCTAGTAAGCTAGATGGACGCTTGAATGTGAAACCTCATAGGAAAATCTGCCTCATGCAAGAAATGATGTTACTAGCTGTTCTCTTCCTTCCAGTTACAGAACCAGAAACTTCTCATTTTTTTTAGATGAGAGCTGGTGCATCATTTGATTTTTCTCACCTACTCCTGACTAACCTTAGAAATAGGGAAGTTAAATTTGGTATCCTGGCAGAGTTGTAGTAAATTAACTGAAAATAATATTCTGCATAGTAACTGTCATTTTCTGTTTCAGTTTTAGGCTGTGCTATTATGAAACTGCTAACCAACTTGAATTCCATAATTGATGGGTTAAAGTTTATAAGGAAAGCCGAAATTGTAATACAATTAAGCATATGATGGCTGAATGAAGTAAACAAAAGTGCTTTTAGCCCTTTCACGTTTATCTGGCAGGAAAATACACTTTTAAGTATGACAAGTAAATATGCACATGTAAAATACACTAGGTAATCCAGCCCACCTGTTTTCATGTGTTCTGACATTACTGGAAGTAAGCATTTTAAGGGCGTTTTCCAGAGGCAAGTCAGGTTTTTTCCAGCTAAAAGTGCAACTATACGTTTGGAAAGCTATATTTCTAATTCAGCTCCCATTCCTCTTCCTCTTTTTAATTTACATTTCCATTAAAATAGAATAATTACTGCTTACTTTGCTATTCCTGTCCCATTAATGCGTCTAGTTGGTAAGAGTGAAAGCACTAGCATTTTGCATGATTCTGCACTTAAAATCTGTTTCATTTGTCCCATGTGGTAATGTGTGAATTCCTGTGAAAATTGATAATTGATTCAAAGCAAGTCATGAATTCAAATAAAAAATTATCAGAAGGATTAGCTAGCTAGCTATTGTATGCACAAATGTGTCTCAGTGAGGGCTATGAAGAAAATAATGTACAAGAGTCAGACAATCTGTTTTTTTTCCTTAATTTCTTCAAAAATAATAAACAGCTTCCCGTAAGAGCCCAGATTCTCCAAGGTCACTCTGATATGTGGATTTTAATTTAGCTGCACATGACATTCACATGTAAGTGCTTATTCTGAAGGAGATTTACTGGTTGTCACCATGTCAGAACTAGAATTCCTGGAAATACAACTAACCTATATCGGCTTTGTTTCCTGCATTCTGGTAATGTAAACTTCTCTTGAAGGTGAAAATGTCTCATTTTAATAATCTTTGGTTTCTTTAAAGACCTTGCCACCATGGAAGAAAGAATACTGAAACGTTACTACAAAAAGGTCACAGAGTTTGTGGCAGATATGACCAAAATTTTTGATAACTGTCGTTACTACAATCCAAGTGACTCCCCTTTTTACCAATGTGCAGAAGTTCTTGAGTCATTCTTTGTACAGAAACTAAAAGGATTTAAGGCAAGCAGGTAAGCTGAAGTGTTCCTAATCGTAGATGTTCTCTTGTCCCCTAAAACTTCCTTAATACCTTTATAAGCTTACCTTACATTCATACAGGGATTTACCTCTCCATGCACTTGCCTGGACAACTACTTTTCCAAGAAGAAAAAATTCTTCTATAATAGGCAACTATTATTCTCAGTCAGAATTAAGGCTTAAATATTGTTTTGATGAGGTAACTTGAGATAATGTTTGTTCAAAATAAGCTGTTAGACACAAATTAAGTACAGTGTAGAAAATTTGAATGACACTAAGTCATTGCTGCAGAAAACTTAATGAGAACCATTTCTCAGCAGGACATAAAATGTGCTGTTCTGAGTTTTGATGACGTTCTACTCTGCTCTGAGTCCTTTTCAGATGCTAAAAAGAGACAATCTCGCGAGGCTTGTAAGCCAGTGAAATCATTTCAAATAGTTTTTGTTTTTTAATACCTCCTCTTATTTTACCATATTTACCATTGTGTTACCATATTTGAAACAGAGGGAATAAATAGTCTTTAAGGTATGGAAAACTAAATACAATTCAAATTTGGCTATTTAACATCAGACTTTTGTTCTGAATGCTTTTCTGTAGACTGATGTGTAGAATATTTTCCTAATACAAATGTTCCTGAAAATGAATAGGCTGCTCTGTAGCGGATTTTTCTATTGCTTGCCAATTCTGTCTACAGTAGCATGTACATGGGAGTTGTACTGCACTAGTCAAATTATAATGTGGCATTTAGTACAGCTCTTCCTAAAACTGGCTTAGTCAAAACACTAGTGGACTATACAGATTTCTCCTATATTACTGCTGTACTCCAGCATAAGCCAACTGCAACTGAGTTACGAATGTTGAATGCCTTTCAGCATTACTCAGAAATCTGTATGTGCATGATAGTTAACTTTGTCCATCTGACGGTAACAGTCAAAACTGTAACAGACTGCCAGACTAATATAGTAATACAGGATCAACATGAATATTTCTAACTGAATTGAAAGATTCAATTTATACTCGTTGTGGAAGCTCTCTAATCTAGCGAGAGTAGGATTAATGAGAAAGGGTGAGACAAAATTGATTAGTCCAGCATTTTCCTTTCCCCTTTAATATTATAGTAATGTTTTTACCAGGTAGTGCTCAAATGTTGTTTCTTTCATCTTGCATTAGCTGATTATCCAGCATCCACTGCTCGCTCTTAATTTCATTGCTACATCTTTTTTTGTTACCGTTTTTCATTTATACCATCAATGTCCTTTCTTTTCTTGCAGATTGTGATATCTTTAGTCTGAACTTTTTAACTGGAATCAGAACTGGATGTTGGGGTCACTTTCTTTTATTGTACAATTCAATGACATTAAACTGCCCTAAAATCCAGATCATTTGTCTAACAAGTAAATGTTGTTTTTTATTTTTTGTTACCAGCAGTCCTGCTGGTAAACACAAATGTATCAACAGAAAAAAAAATGTCCCGTTGCTGGAATACTGTATTGATAGAAATGAAAAATTAATCTTGGAAAACATGTATTTTATTGTTTTATTTTCAGTCACTAATAAAAATGTGAACGTCAAAGAGTTTTGCTGAACTCTGATTAGCAAAAAATGTGATTTTAATACGCCTGGTTCAGTTTTTTCTATTAAGTTAATCCAAAGATTTCTTGAATAAATTTAAGCTAAATACACCTTATTATAAATATTCACACTTACTGTCTTTTTGCTTTCCTTTTGATAGACTACTGTTATGTAAATAAGAGTAAAACTAAGTTCAGGCATTTTGGAATATTCCAGCGACACACTGCATTTTACAAGTAGTAAGATATACAGTAGTGGTATACAGTAGGTGAAAATGTGCGTAGAATTCAGAAATATTTTAAATGTTTTTTTTCTGAAGGGTTTAAAAACAAAAATGGAAGCAACATAGTGGTAATTCCCTCCTACTGATTTACCCTTGGCAACACCTTGCAGCAACTGTGTTCTTCCAAAATGAAGGGTGCTTAATTCTTCACTTTCTTCTGTATTCTGCAGGTCCCATAACAACAAACTGCAGTCTACAGCTTCTTAGAGTTCAGCGTGTTAACCTAACACACGAGCAAGAATCTGGTTGTCTGAAAATTTTTAATTAAGAAGCCAGATGTTTTTAGTCAGGTTATCCTGACAAGACTTGATGTAAACTGCGTTTTTATTGGTCACAACAGTCAAATTATATTCTTGGCTTATTTTGTCCAAAGGACAAAGAAATAAAAATCAGCAGCACCACTTTCTTGTCAAGATCAAATTGTTGTACTATTGTGGCAGAAGCAGGAAAACTTTTTGTTTTGTTGAAGGAGAGAGAGAAAGAGAGCAAGAAAAAAAAGATACAGTAAATGGGGTCAAGTTTAACTCCATGGAAATGCCACGTCTGTTCTTCAGTGAAGAAGCTGGTTTAAAGTCCACACAGAAAACTTTGACTGTATTTATTTATTGTTGCAAAAAAGACGCTTTTTTATTGCTGCCCTCATTTGTCAGCTAATTATTTTTTCTTATAAAATCCAGCCCCGGTTACATGTAATCCATTCTGTATCTTAACATGATTCCTGTAGGTAAAAGTACAAGAAGACCTCTAGATGTCTTTTCTTTCTATGAAAGGAGCTGCTATGTACACATGTGCACACACACAGAACTGGGAATCAACAATGAGTTTATCATTCATGGTAGATCAAAAAAAAATAACAAAAAAAACAATTAAGCTTGCATAAAGGTTGGGCTAAGTGGTCATGGACTACAGACTCTGTTGCCTTGAATATAACAGTACAATTTGTCATTTACTCTGCACCAGACTGAAATGAGTAAAATCTATTTGAAGGTATCTTGTTTGTAAACATTTGTCAGATTCTAATTTTTTTCTTTTGTATTAAAATTCAAAATATGGATGTATATGAAACAAAATAAATGGAGATAATTGTTCTCCCCACACATGTAGGTGTCTTTGAGTGTGCGCTAATATGTTTGTAACACTTTTGGGGATCTGTTAAGAAGTATAGGTATTTCAAGTAATTGGGGGGGGGGAAGTGGCCAGGGAAATCTGACTTTATTTTGCTCCAAAGGTAGCATTTATAACTTTTCATTCTTAAGCAGCTGTTATCCCTTTATAAAATTTCTACAGTGGTGCCAAAATTACTGTAACAGATAACACGGTAGGAAGTATTTTGTGAAATGTCACTGCCCACTGCTGAATTGATATTTTGCCAAGAACCCTAAGAATGTAAAGTACCAAGTATAATTATGTCCTTGAAAGGCATTCTGGATGGCCTCATTGTTTCCTGTATGAGGAGTGCTAGTAGGGGGTATAAGTTGAAGTCAAGAGAGGATGCGATTTGCAGATGTTTTTCTTTCTATGACTTTCATATTGCATAAATGACTTTCTCGTGTTACCTGTCGACAGTTATCAGCCATGCTTTATATGCAGCTCTTCAACCATTTGACTAGCTTTTGCACTAATTCACAGTTAACTTCTGTTCTACAGTGATCTGGGATTTACCTGATTTATGGATAAGCTCCTTTTGGGTTTAACCTCACACCTTGCTATGCAAGAACCTTTTCTGTTACTTTTCTTAAAGATGTTGCTACTGACCACACTTTCTTATACTTACAGGCTCAGGTGTACAGGTACTTCTGGGATAACTTTATCTAACAAAACCCATGTTTTTTTGTACATAGAAATGTTGTCAATTAACCTATATGTGAAAATTAAAAATAATAGTTCAATGTGAAAACAATTATCCATTATGCTTCTTAAAGTTTAAAAAAAAAAAAGTTGCATTTAGCTTATGTTGTCCTTGACGTTTTAAAAAAAAATGCTGCATATTGTATGCATTGTGTTTTTAATGCAGAAAGGAAAAAAAATCTCAACTTCTAACAGCATTTTAACATATCCTGCATCTCTTCAAGACTTCACAATATTTCTGTACTATTTATTCATACATAAATATATTTGACATTTAAAATTTTCCTACCTGTAGGCAATAGATTGCTATGTTTTTAAGAAATTGTGGCAAATTGAAGAGTACTTTTTTGTACCTAATAGGACACATCATCCTAGACAAATAAAGTAATGTGTTTGACATTGATTTGGTGGTGTTTCTAATGAAACATTTGATAATGCAATGGTATATAGGTCTTGGCTTTTCCAGATTATAATCACTAGTGAATCAGTTTGCTTAGGGAAATAATCCATACGTATGACTTAATTTTGCTGAGAGCTATTGTGTTTTCAATTGTCATGGAGTACATTGAGGCATTTTTCTTGTTTAGTGGTGAATCTTCATAGCTACATGGTGTTTCTGGAAAATAGCACTTCTATAAAAGTAATTAATACCCACCTTCCTAAAAGCATGGTAAGTTCTTATGACCTGTGATCTCTGTTCAGTCGTCATTTTTTTCATGTTTTTATAAATATCATGTTTTAAAATAGTAATGTATTCTAACAATTTTGATACGGTGAACTATCCTAGCTTGATTCTTTTCCTCAAAAAACTTTCAAGCAATTGCCTATGATCTAGATTTACTTTGAAACTAGTTGTAGAGCAGTGCTTGTATCTGATAGGGGCAGAGACATTCTGTCAGTTGCTGGCATTTTTTACTTGGGATTTGGATGTCACTAGCACAAGATACTGTTACTTATCTCTGAGACAATCAAAATGAGTTATGGTCATATGCATTATTTTTGTACCCACACTTTGCCTATTTTAGATTACAGTATTGTCTTGGGGGTGAGGAGGGTGCTTAATTTCTATTCTGGGCAAATGGGTGACTCTGGGACTGCTCATTAGTCCCTGAACTACAGTTGAACATAGAAACAAATTTAAGATGCACATGTAACCCTTTTTCCTTCCTTCCCCTGCCCTATCCAGTCCAGTCCAGTGCTTTCATTTGTTGCCAGGAAGTCATTTTGCCAAATCAAAAGCCCCCTTGAAGTCCCTCTGGAAAACTTCCGTCTACATATGCCACGTTCCATGTTAGCTCTTCGTTCCCGTAACAGAAGTGAGACAGTATATTTTTTTTTTAGATGGACACAAACTATTAGTAAATTTCTATGAAAGACTTTTGGGTCCTACAATGTACAATGCTTGCAGTTGGTATTTTGTCTCCTATTCCAGATCAAGAAGTACTTCGTACAGTGTGACTTATCCCCCATCCTCTGCTCGCTCCGTAGCTTTCAGTGACGCTAAATGGAGTTGCAGACTTCTGCTACATAAAATTGTGTTAGGACTACCTTTGCTTCAAAACAGAAAATGTTTATAGGATGCTCCTGTTCCAGATCACGTTATATATATCACTGTATACATTTTTAATCGAATGGCAAGTTCCCCACATGCACATGACATATATACATATTCCCCTTTTTATATACGTACAAACAGTTGTAAGTTTTCATTGATATTAAGATTCTACTGGCTCAAAATCTAGGCCTTATTTATAGGGATATCTCTGCAAGTACTCAGAGCTACTGCCTTTAGAAGAACATTTTGTCTTAATTAGCAGTACTAATTGGCAGTTACTTTTCTGCACCACTGCATGAACTAGACACATTTGAACTGTATCTTAAAATCACAGGCGATGCTTCAAACAAGGAGATGCCTTCTTTTAATACTCACTACATAATCTTTTTTTTTTGCTCTTTCGGAACCCAGGGAACAGTGAATCCAGACCTCCTGTGAACAGTTACAAGACTCAGAATTTGTGAATACTGGCTCTTGGAGTAGTAAACATTAAGATCGCCTTTGCAGAGTTTTCATGTAATTAAGTTCTTGTATTTCCACCACATTAAGGGTACTAAAAGGTTGTATTTTTGATTCACAGTAACTTTACTGCTGTGCAAGTACAAACTGGGTAATTCTCAGGGGAAGATGACCTCCAGTTCACAGTTCTAGGATTGAACTTCTAAAGAACTAACAGCATAACCAGGCATACAAGATGTGCATGCAATTGCATGCTTATTTTGCATTCCTTGGCATGAACTTGTGACATTGTTTGTAAGCTTAATTGGGCACTGGTGTGCAAATTACTTGATTTGCTTTCAGTTAGTGTATTCGTATACTTGAATAATTAATAGCTAGTTCATAAGCTTTATGTGAAAACCTAACACTGAAGAATAATGGTAGTTGAGGAACCAAAACAATATGCAAGATACTTGGTTTTGCTGGTATCTTTTGAATCAGATATACTTAAAGCAGAATTGTGTGAAAATACCATTGACATCCCCTGTAGGAAATGCTATGGTTTTATCTAATACTTGTTCAAGGTGAAGGGTTTGAAAGTGCAGTTACTTGTGTACCTTGAACAAGCCTTCAGAATTTTACTTTACAATTATTACAAATTATTAGGTCTACATTATAGCAGAGGAGGTGATAGCCCATGGCTCTGAAAACAGCTAGAGCAAATTCACCACCGGTTATTGTCAACTAACTTTTGTGCTGTATTTCACAATGTGTAGGTACCTACTCAAAACATTCAGCCAGTGTTTGCTAAAGCACAAAAGCAAGTGTCCTATTCACAACCAATTTTAGGCATAAGTAGCTGTTGCTCAGTCATCAAACTTATTCTTGTAGAGGAATTCTGCTGCTGCCTGTGGAGGTTACCGTAGCCTTATCTACATTTAGCATCAGCCCCTTGCGCTTTGTGGTTCCTCTTCCTGTTGAATCTCTTCACGTAGCTCCTGCTGCTCCCAGTCAGTCCATCCCCAGGCCTCAGGCGCCCTCTCAGGATCTGCAGTAGATTTGCAGGGATCTGTGTCTCCTGTGGTAGGTCTGACCCATCACAATGTATCTGCTGCCTACAAAATAAAGATTCCTGTGTTACGAAGAAAGCGTTGTTTTATTCACTACACCTGCTCTAAGGATAGTACCTTTATGAATGGATGTGAAGTTATACCCTACAGAAATACATCCTAGGACATGGGCGTTGTGCTTGCACATAAATGATTATTTGTGTTGCATTGCAAATTGAATCAAATACTAACTAGTATTTGATAAACTGGCATTTAGAAGGAAAACTGAACTATTTGCAAGGACAAGAGCTTACGCTCCTGTTATGTTTTTTTCCTTTTTTTTTTTTTTTTTTTAAGAACTGCACTGCTAGCTGACTTCTACACAGGTTTGGGTTTCTTAGAAAAGCTGAGGAGGGGAAAGAACCCTCTGTTCTAAGAGTAAACAATTTTTTTTCCAAAATCTTCCAACCTGGATTGAGTTTATTAAACTAGGGAAGGCTAAGATTATACTGTATGCAGGAAAAATAGTGGAATGGATTTAACTAGGGTTGTTTACCAAGTTCAAAGTCTGGACACGGTTTGCTGCAGTTTAAAGCATCCATAACGAGAATGTGAATTCGGAAGAAGCAGCCATCAGGAGGAACAGACAGACGATTCATCTTGTATAATCCGTCGCTGTTTACCAAAAACACAATCATGTGGACTCCACAGTCTTTCCATGTTATAAACAATTCCATTCACTGCTGTTTTAAGGAGGGGAGGAAAAAAAAAAGCCTCAGATTCCTTATCTTAGTGACGACTCAAAGTAAATGTGAAGATGCTCATTTAAAATACTGTGAAGTATCAGCAGAAATTCTTTGGCCCAGTAGAGGGCAGGCTTGAAAGCAACAGTTCAAATCATAAGGTGATGTTACTAACCTTTCTATCCTTTACAGCTCTGAGATGTTGCTCAGACTTTTTTCATACCTGACTTTCTCAATTTAAGGGCAGAATGAGACCAGTATTTGTTAAACACTGAAATGTACAAAGGTCGTGTCACTGTAAGACCTACATTTGACAGGAATGCGTAAGAGTTGTAAAAAAAAATAAAGACTATATCATTTATAGAAGCACTTCCTGACTGCTCCATTTAGAGAAAACAGCTGTCTCATAACGTGTGTCTGTTCTGCAAATGGAAACATCTGTTCCAGGGGGCATGTATTTTGCTTATCTCTTAAAATGCTGTGAGGAAAAGTTGGCATCTATTTCACAACTTCTGAAGTGTAAGGAAGAATTTCAGTCCGAAAATGTTTGCTCTTAGGTGTTCAGTACAAAATTCCCAGGTTATTTTCTGCCACCTTTAGCTACGTCAGCTTGGACTGAAGGCACTGAAGAACTTCATGAAGAATCCTCTGCACAGACAGAACGCTGCTTGGGTCAGTGTTTTATTTTCATTTGCTATCTTTACTCCCAGAAATCAGAAACTCCCTCTGAATAGTAAGAGGTAAGTAACAGCTACAGTGTTCAACCCTAGAGTATCTAAAGCTGGTGGTTTTTGGTTCTGTTGAACAGGAGGAGCGCTGTGTCCTTCCCTGGAGTGGAAAGGCAAGAAACGGGAAAGAAGAGCCCAGGGTAGGGAAGGAGTAATACAAGACTTGGTAGAGTTTGTTATATAAATAGCTGCAATGGGTCCCTTTAATGGACTTAGTATTTACTTAATATACTTAGTGAAATAATATCTTAAAAGCAGAAGTGAAGTGTCAGTAATACTCGAACAAGGACAGCCCCAGCGTTGTCTGTGTGGTTCATGGTGGACAGCTCACCGCATTCACTCCTGCAGTGGGCCTCCGCTTCATCTCTCTATTTCCTGCCCTCGGCCAGAGATGCCTTCCACTTGGGGTTCGGCTCAGTGTTAGGGTTACGTTTAGGGTTGTTTGGAAAGAGCAAAGACACACAGTCTAGTTGCTTGTGGGGCTGTGTAAAGGCTCCCCTGGGGAGTTCAGGTGTACCCAAAGGCTTCTGTTGGGGGCACTTTTTGATGGGAGAAAGCGTCGCCATACTTGTTTTCTAGGGTCCCAGGGGATGTGAGCCCTGCTGGGGCTGTTCCTTCCCTGGGAAATAGGCAGGAGTCAGAATTTCACCCTCTGCACTTTCCTGAACACCCCCGCAGGAACGACCCCCGGCCCCCCGACCCTTCCTTGCTCCAGAGCCCAGCCTCAGGCAGAGCCCCCAGGAAGCCCTGGCCCCAGCCAGGCCCTCAGGGCTCTCTTTTCCATGCGAAATCAGGGGACCTGGGAACGATCTGGCTTTATTTAGTTATTGGAGATGGCAGCAGAAGAGAGGGATCAGATCAGATCCCGCCAGCCCTGCGGGAGCCCCGTTGGCGATGACAGGGTTCCCCTTACCTCGCAGGGACCATTCCTCCAAAGCTGACAAAGCAGCGCCTGAGAGCTGGGCCTGAAGCACACGCGTTATTCTTCAAAGCCCCCGATTCAATAACAGGATCCAGAGCTGGGAAATGTCGCTGAAGAGGTTGCAGCTCAGAGGCTGCAGTGGGATGAGGTGGGATGGGGGCTCGGAGGGGCTTTTGGCTCGGGGCTGAGCACCCGTGGGGCTCTCCACACGCTGCTCGTGCCTCAGCCAATTCAATTTCTGCCCATTTCTGTTAAGACCAGAGATAAGACCTGACCCAGAATCTCCCTGGGTAAAAGCAGCGCCTGGTCACATCGCTCACCCTAACCCTGACCCTACAACCAGCGGGCAGGGGCTGCAGGGGCTCCCCACCACCAGCGATCTCTGTGTAGGGCTGGGCGGCTGTGGAGCACTTTGCTTCAGCAGATTTGCTTCTCCCCATCCCATTTCCAGGCATTAAATGAGCAAAGATCAGCATGGGTGACATTTCCAAACGCCCCCAAAGCAGGGGCGAGGAGCCCAGCACCCCGCTGTGGGTGACCGGAGGACACAGCTCGGATGGGGGCTGCTCGGATGGGACGAGCCCAGCACCCAGCAGGCAGCCCCAGGGTTATTTTATCCTTTGCGGTTCTCCTGTGTGGTGAGAAAGAGCCCGGGGGGAGGAAGGAGGGGTGGAGATGTGGCCTCTGTCCTCCGCCCTGTCCTGGCGCCCCATGGAGGAGACGCTGCTGCAGGTGCTGCGGTCACCCCGCTCCTGCACGGCCCTGCTGGGTTTGGGTTTTCACCTGCAGGCTCCCTTCCTTCTGCTTCCTCACGGAGAGCCAACGGGCCAAAAAGAAGTGTGGGGAGGATAAAGGGGGCCTTGGGATGGCCCCCAGTGCCCTGGCTGTGGGGTCCCATCGTGTGTGTGCCCTGTGAGAGGTGCTGGCCCCATCATGGGTCTCCTGCAGGGGTTTTTCTTGGGGAGCCCCCAGGAAAGCTCCTGCTTGGAGCAGGTCCCATCACCGGGCCGTAGGCACCTGGTGGTGAAATGGAAAGAGCGCGGCGGTTCTAGGAAGAGGAAGAAAACCCAGGAGGCTGGCACGAAAAGGAGCTCCTCCTGTGGTGCACAAGGATGCCGGGGGGCAGGGGAGGGCCAGGCTGGGGTTCAGCCCCATTTGTGCCCCTGCCAAGCACCCACCTCTGCTCGGGGGCTCTGGGTCTGTGCGAGGGGAGGGAATCAGCAGGTGAGGGGAGCCCCTTCTGGGTGCTGCTTGCACCCAAGGGTGGCCCCAGCACCCCAAAGCCTCTTTCCCCCCAGCCCCGTGGTGAAACTCTTGCAGACAAAAATAACCCGGCCAGCCGCCTGCTCTGCGGTCGCCGCTCGCACGAGCGAGGGAGCAGCAGCAGCAGCAGCAGGTCGCAGGGGCTGAGCACCAGCCCCGCATCCCCTGCCTCCCAGCCCTCACCTCTCACTTCCCTGAGAGCTGCTGATGCTCGCGGGCCCCCGGAGCGGAGCAGGATGATGGGGATGTGGCCGGGCTGGGGCTGGCTCCTTCTCCCAGGTGAGGATGGGTGCAGAGCTGCTGAGCCCCCCCCTAGAAGTGCGGGCTCCCCTTCGGGTACCAGCCCCGGAGCCGCAGCCTCCCATCACCGCAGCCTTTTGGGGCTAAAAGCGGGCAGATGGGGTCTCCCCAAAAGTGCTTATTTCTCACCGCCCCTCCAAAGCGAGCCGAGGAGGGGCAGCTTGGGGGGGGACCAGGGCTGGTTCCTCTCCATCACTGTTTGGTTTCCCCGCAGCGTGCCAGGCTCTCATTGCCCCCCGGGAGGTGAGCGGCCGCGTGGGGCAGGCGCTGACCCTGAACTGCTGGTACGGGCCGGGCTACCAGGGCTACAACAAGTACTGGTGCCGCGGGGCCTCGTGGGACTCCTGCCGCAAGGTGGTGGAGACGGCGGGGCGAGAAGTGCCCCGGCAGCGCGGCCGCGTCTCCATCACCGACAACCACGTCTTCTGCTTCGTCCTGCTCACCCTGGAGGAGCTCTCGGAGGAGGACGCCGGGAGCTACTGGTGCGGGGTGGAGCGGGCGGGCAGGGACATCATGAAACCGGTTACCGTCAGGGTTTTGCCAGGTGAGCATTGGCATTCTGTTGTTTTTTTGTAGGGGAAAGCATTTTTGGGGGAAGGAAGGTGCTGGGTTGTGTCGGGGAGAGATGGTGCAGCTCGGCTCCGCTTGTATTGGTTGGCACCCAGTATAAACCAGTGGCAGGGTGGTGGGGATGATGGGTCCCTTCGTTAAGGGGTGCTCATAGGTGCATGCAGGAGCCATGCGCAGGGGTTTGCAGCACCGAGGCCAGTCCTGGGCCATTATTTGGGCTCCCAGCACCAGGTGCTGCAGCCAGAGAGCTGCTGCCAGCCGGCCTCTACAAACCAAAGCAGGTCGGGGCTGCAAAATCTGAGCTTTTGGGTGAGGAAAAGGGGCAGAACCAAGCCCTGCAGCCTTGGGAAAGCCTCAATCCCTGGCATCCAAAGAGATTCCTCTCCACGGGGAGCTGCAGGGAAGGAACATCCCTTGGGAACGCCGGCAGGGCAGGGGCAAGGGCTGGGCACGGTACAGGCAAGTGCTCACCTCCTGCTGGTGGGACGTGGGGGACCCCAGCTCCCCCCAGGACCACCCCCGATGCGTCCGTACGAGCTGTGCCTGCAAACCCTGCAACCACCCCCTCGCCCTGGCTCTCCGACGCCACCATCGAGATCCTCTCCACAGCCAACAGCACCAACAGCCACTGCCGCGGGGTGAGCCATGGGCACCACGGGGCAGGGGGGGGGGCTCTCAGTTGCAGGGTCTTCACACCAGGGGGCTCATGGGGACACTCCAGAGATGTTTTTTTGGGGGGTGACGCAGCAGCAGAGACCCAAGTGGGGCTCTGGGCTGGTGTCCTTGCTTCGTGGCCCCATCCCACAGTGGGCAGGGGGCTGCAGGAGCACAGCGCCAGCCTTTGAGGGGGGAGGCAAACAGCCCCGCTCCTCTTCCCTTGCCTCCAGCCCCCCCATGTCAGCCCGGAGTGCCCTGGTGCCCACGGCGGTGCTGCTCTCCCTGCTGGCTGTGGCTGGCTCTGCCGGGCTCGTCTACGCCCTGTGGAGGAGGAGGGAAGGTAAGGGCACCCAAGGGTGCCACTGCGCCCATCCTGGGCACAGCGGGACCCATCTGGGGAGCTGAGCGGGGCAGGAGCTGGGGGGGTTTGTGTGTTGGTTGTGCTGTGGGTTGTGCTGTGGGTTGTGCTGCTTTGCCATGACTTTTCTTCCTGCCCCCAGACCTCCAGAGACCCCTGGGAGCGGTGAGATCTAAGCCAAAGGACTGGGTTCAGCCGCACCATATGGCAAGTGCCCAGAGAGCCCCCCCCCCGGGACCACCGGTCTCCATGAACCCCCCCTGCAGCTGCAGCCCTGGGGCTCCTGTGGGTGCCCGGGGGCACGGCTGGAGCCCGTGGGGCTGAGCCTGGCAGCGAGCGGGGCCGGCTGCCCCCTGACCCCGCTGCCTGTTGCAGGATTTTGGGGACACGCTGCCCCTTCGCAATGAACCCCCCCTGACCCCCTCCAAGCCTGCCTTCGCCGGGGAGCTGGACAGCATCTACGACAACGATCTGACCCTGACAAAGGTGAGAGCCCCGGCACGGGCAGCAGGGAACCGGGGAGCCCTGCAGCACCCGGCCGTGCCGTGCTGAGCCCCTGCCCTGCCCCAGGACCCCGGGGACACACCGCCCCCGAGCCAGCAGGACGCCGTGCAGCAGGACACAGAGCTGGAGGATGAGAACTTCTACACCAACACCTTGTACCACGACAGGAGCATGGGGAGGCCCAGACACGGCACACAGCAAGGAAATGAATTCCTCCGGTCCTAAGGGAGCACCGCGGGTGGGCAGTGGGGTCCCCGGGTGCTCCCCTGCAGAGACACCGGCGCTTTGCTCTGAGCTGGGCAGGGAGCAGGGGGGCTGCAGGATGGGAATGAGCTTCACCAGAGGCTGCGGATCCATCACGGGAGGATCTCAGCAGCACCACAGCTTCTGCCCACAGGACAGAGCCCGGGGACACCCCAATTCCCCACCCCAAGCGCGTCCCCGCTGTCCCAGCCTCCTGCCTCCGGCTGGGCTGCTCCCAGCACATCCCACAGGGCTGCCGGGTGTGGAGATGCCCTGGACCACGTCCTCCTTGCCCAGACCCGGTACAATCCCTATCATTATCTCGTTTCTCCTGCTCTTACTCAGCCTGAAGCTGCCCGTGGTGCTGGTCCTGGTGTGCACGGCCGTGTGGGTGAGGAACCTGTGCAGGAGATGCAGCCCCCGGGGAAACCTGCAGCTGCCCGGGGCATCGGGCAGCCTGCACGCCCCGACGGTCCCCGAGCATCCCCCTGCCCCCTGCCCCCTGCCCCACACCCTGTGGGGCTGAGCCACCCGCCCCACAGCGGGAGCTGCTCGGCACCAGGCACCTCTCCCAATGCAAAGCCCAAAGCGCTGCCGGCACCCCCAGGGCTGCAGCGGGGAGGGTTTGGGGTGCAGAGAGCCCGTGTCTGCTGAGCAAATGCACTTTGCAATAAAGCTTGGTATCCTGCAGCTGTCTGTCTGTCTGTCTGTCTGTCCACATCCTCCCCCAGCTGCCAGCGCTGGTCAGGGCACCAGGGGCTGCAAATGTGGGTGTGTGGAGCCGTGCAGGGAGCCCCATTTGGGGGGACTTGGTGTCCTGGGGGGGGGGACACGAGCACCTGGCTGAGCCCCGCTGAGGGGAGAGGAGCCCTGAGCAGCGCCAGCCCTGCCGGATGGGGCCAAACACCCATTTCCAGGCTGACCTGCAGGTCCCTCCAGCATCGCTGCGCCCTTCCCATTTCGCCCCTCGGCTCGTTCCCAGCAGCAGGACAGGCCCTTGGTCTGCACAGAGCCCGCTGTGGGGCCAGGATTCGGGGATAGGTCAGGGCCAGTTCAGCCGTGTCTCCATCAAGGGGGTCCCTCAGTGCCCCAAATCACCCACAAAATGACCTTGCATCCGGGTCATTTCTAAAAACATTAAAGAGAACTGGCCCCGGAATGGAGCCTGGGGGAACCCCACAGACTGGCCAACAGCCTGGTGTAACCCAGGCACCACAGCCCTTGGAGGCACCACAACCTTTTGAGGCCGACCCACCAGCCGGTTGTTAACCCATCCTGTTACCCACTCCTCCAGCTCCCCTTCTGCTGAGGGATTTGCCCAGCAAACCACAGGGTCAGCCAGTCGGTGAGAAAGAGGAAGGAGGAGGCTGGGGGGGCTGCTGCTAGGGGATGGGAGAGGACATCCTGGCCGGGGCAGCAGGGCTGGGACGTGTTTGGGGTTCAGGGGGTCGCTGTGCAGACCCCGCTGTGTGCCCCGCTGGCTGGAGGCACCGTGTGGCACAGCAGCGAGGTGGGGAGGGGCAGGGCTGCACCCACCGGGGGGGCTCCCCGGGGCGATGGGAAGCGTGAAGCTGCATGGGAACTCGAGTTTCCACTGCTGTCAGCTGATTTCCCACATCCTCTTCTTGCAACACCAGCACCTCGGCCACTGAGCCTGGCCCCCGCCAGTGAGTGGTGCTGAGCCATGGGCAAAAGAGGAAGCGAAGCCCCCGAGAGGTACCGAGGAACACGTCTGGCCAGAGGGCTGCCCGACGGGTGCCGAAGGCCATCCTGGCCATGCGGCTGCTGCTGCTGCTGCTGCTCGCCTGCACGGCTCCGTGCCCCTCGGCAGGCGGCCGGGCAGTGAGGGGGCCCGGCACTGTGCGTGGGCACCTGGGGGGGTCCCTCTCGGTGTCCTGCTTGTACCGGCAAGGCTACGAGAACAACTCAAAGTTCTGGTGCCACCCGGGAACGATCGCTATCTGTGCTTCTGACGTCCACATCATCGCCACCTCGGAGAGTAATCCCCAGGTGCAGCGGGGCCGGTTCTCCATCTGGGACAATCGCAGCCAGCGGGTGTTCACCGTGACCATACAGAACCTGAAGGCAGAGGACGCGGGCACCTACCGCTGCGGGGTGCAAAAGCCCTTCTTTCAGTTTGATTACAGTGACGATGTGAAGGTGATCGTGTCCCCAGGTCAGTGCTTGCGGGTCCCCTGCGCAGCCCCAGTGCCCGGCCGCACGGTGCGGGGCTGGGGGCGGGCTGCGGGAGGTGGCGACACCCGGGCGCAGCGGGGGCAGAGAGCAGGGGGCTGCACACACAGCTGGGCCCACTTTGCCTTTGCAGGACCACCACAGGGGACTACCGATGCCCTCTTTTGGGCCACCTCATGGCCACTAACACCGAGTGTGAGCTCCCCATTGAGCACGGACTCGCCGTTGCGCACGGGTGCTCCGCGGAGCGCGGGTAACGTGACCCTGGGTGCGGATGTGCCATCGGGGCGCTGTGACAGCCTCCGCTGGTTCCCGCTGCTGGCCGGGCTGCAGCTGCTGGCCCTGGTGGCCATGAGCATGACCGTGCTGTGGCTGAGCCTGCGGAGAGACTGAGCACCGGGGCTCGCAGCGCTCAGCCCCCGCCGCCGCAATAAAGCGCTCGGGCACCGCGTCGAGGCTCCATCCAGCCTTCCCTGCGGTCTCCTCGAGGGGAAGAAGAGGGGTGGGAGGGTGGTAAGGAGGGTGTGTGGGGGGGATTTAGGAGGGGGATTTAAGAGGGGGAAGCAGCGGTCGCCGAGCTCCACCCGGCCGCCAGGTACGGCCCCGGGGACGGGACGGGCTCTGCAGCCACACCGGGAGGCTCCAGGCATGGAGGTCAGGACGGGCACGGCCATGCCGAGGCTGCTGGGGCTGGGGCTGGGGCTGGGGGTGCTGAGGCTGCTGCTGCTGCTGCTGCTGCTCGCCTGCACGGCTCCGTGCCCCTCGGCAGGCGACCAGGCAGTGAGGGGACCTGGCATTGTGCGTGGGCACCTGGGGAGGTCCCTCTCGGTGTCCTGCTCGTACCAGCACGGCTACGAGAACAACTCAAAGTACTGGTGCCAACCGGGAACAGTTAGGACCTGTGCTTATGACGACTACATCATCGCCACCTCGGAGAAGAAGCCCCAGGTTCAGCGGGGCCGGTTCTCCATCTGGGACAATCGCACGCAGCGGGTGTTCACCGTGACCATACAGAACCTGGAGGCAGAGGACGCGGGCACCTACCGCTGCGGGGTGCGAAAGCCCTTACTTCAGTTTGATGACAGTGACGGTGTGAAGGTGATCGTGTCCCCAGGTCAGTGCTTGCGGGTCCCCAAGGTCCGACGTCAGTGTCCCCCCCCGGCCAAGCAGAAGCGCCAGGAGCAGGGGCTGTGGGAGGAGGTGGGCGTCCATGCACCATGGGGCTGCGCCGGGACGGGTCCTCAGGGCACCTCGGTGTCTTCCAGGTGTCTCCACGGCCCCTTCTTGGAGCTGCAGGGTCAGCCGCCCCATGGCGGTGGTGCATCGCCCTCCTCCCCGTGCCCTGTAGCCCCTTTCTCCCCCCATGGCCCTCTCCCTGCCTGTGCCCTCCTGCCCTCACTGCCAGCTCTGGGGAGCCCCGGCTCCCACCCCATTTCCGTGCCGTGTCGGTGCTGGCGGCGCACAGGGTGCCTGGGGCCCCTTCCTGCAGCCTGAACTCTGCTTGGGGGGGTGTGTGCGTGCTGGGGGGACTGGGACTGCTGGGATCCCGCTGCAATCCTCCTGGGGGTTGGGTTAGAGCCACACACCTCGGGCTGAGTGCTCTGGAGCAGAGGGGATGCAGGGTGCCCCGGCAGCACGGTGAGGTTCTCTCCAAGCCACTGCAACACCCACAATGTTTCCCCTGCAGAGGTAGGGAGCCTGGCTGAGCCTTTTTCCTCTTCTAGCTGCAGTTCCCACTCTGACAGCATCGCCCTCCACCATGGCCACTTCACCTGGGTCCACCTTGGGCTCCACGCAGCTACCTCCCCAGCAGGAAGGGACGCAGGTGACAGCCAGCCCCTCTGCCACCCCTGGCAATGGGTGAGTGCCAGCTGCCAGCCCGCACTGCGAGCAGCCTCCACCTCCCTCCCTGAGCTGTCTGCGGGGCTGTATCACTCCTGGCCACTCGGGCTGCCCTTAGGGATTCCTGCCCTTGCCTTTAGGAACCAGCTCTCCACCCTACCCGCTGCGCACAGGGAGCAGTCACAGCACCGCGGGTTGCTCGGCCCCCCACAGCCACGTCTGCAGCTTAAACAATTCGCAGGCCCTGGCCATACAAGAAGTGGTTTTTGCTTGCAGCCCTGGCCCCGTTTCCTTCCCCAGCTCTGTGGGGCTGTTTGCCCGTGGGAAGCCAAGCACGGGCTGAGCTGGGCCCTGCTTTGTAGCCGCACAGTCCCACGGGGCTGCCTGACAGAGCCTGGGGCTAGAGCACGGAGCCTCCTCCCCTCTCTGCTGACTGTTGGAGGTGATGCAAGAATTGGGAAAGCTGAGGCTTCCCTTCACTGTGCTCGGGGGTAACTGCTTCCTCTAAACCAGCCCCGGTGACACACCACAGCGTGCCTCGTGCCTCGTTGCGTTACAACAAAGCCACCAAGAGTGGAGCTGAACCAGAGCAAACCAAGAGGCAGCGCTCCTCCAAATGCTCAGGACGCAGCAGGATGAGGCAGAACCCAGTGTCCCACCTGCTTCTGCTGCTTGCAGGCTGAGGACCACCGTGCCTGCTTGCCTTGCTCCCCAGGCGAGCCCCTTGCCCATGGCTGTGACCCTCTGGCCGTGGCCCCATGCGCCTGCCCCACGGTGCCCGCTGCTGCTGGGTGCAGCCGAGAGGTGCGAGGGCAGAAATTCTTCTCTTGCAGCCTGGACATAGCTCTGGTCGTCCTCACTCCCTGCATCGCAGTGGTTCTGTTTTTGCTCGCCGTTGCTGCCGGGGTTTTGGTGGTACTGTCCAGGAAAAGGAAGCAGGGTAAGCGAGGCCCTCGTGCCACGTGCTGTTGTTTTTTTCTCTCAGTTCCCCATTCCCTCACTAACTCACCCAATTCCTGACCTCCACCGAGCGACTTCTCTGCTTTGTGAGCAAGGGAAGTTGTGGGGGGGCCTCTCCTTCCTCTGACAGCACCGTCCCACGGGTCGTGTCCCCACGGTGATGGGGAGAGGCAGCTGGTGGGATGGGTGCTGCCCGGCACGGCACCGTGCGCCCTGTCTGCAACGTGCTCGCACCACGAGCTTGCAGCGTGCTTGGCTTTGTAGCCAGGTTTGCGGCAGATTTGGCACAGAGTTTGAGGGCAGGGCCAGCAGGGGCCATCACCAGCTGGTGGCTGGGGCCTGGTTTTGTTTGACGAGCTGCTTCAGGTGCTCACCGGGCAGCAGGCCCCCTTCCCGTTTCGCACTGAGCTTGGCAGCAGCAGTGTGGGTTTTTTTTTATGTTTCTGATCCTCTGGCATTGTCTGTGTCCGACCACATCTGTGTTTCAGCCTTCTCAGGAGCAGCTGTCGAGATGGACAGGATCCGTGGCACGCCGAACGTGGTAAGGCAAACCCTGCTCCTGTCGGGACTGCTTGCTCCGGGCTCTGCTGGAAGGGGGAAAGGTTGCGCCCCGAGCCCAGCCTCAGGCTGCCGGCTTAGTGTGCTTCAGCTGGGCTCAGCTGGGAGGGATGCTGAGGGCTCAGCTGGCCGGCAGAAAGAGCCGAGCAGCGATCCTGTGCCACTGCCACAGAGAAACCCTGGGAAGGGGAATTGGGGTCGGGCGGGTGAATTTTCCCGCGGCGCTCCTGCCGCTGTCCCAGCCCCAATGATGGAGAAAGGTGGGACAGGGAGAGGTGTCCACCCCTGCAGCTGGGGAGCTGGAGGGAGCTTGGGAGCACCCCCAGACCTCTCTCGGTGGTGTTTCAGGGAGCGGACGTGCTGCACTACGCAGAAATTGGGCACCCAGACAGTGCAGACGAGAGCCAGCCCTATGGCAACGTGGAGGCTTTGCGCCCCTCGGCAAACGCAGCCACCGACTACACGGAGGTCAAGAGGCCCAGCCAGGTGGGGAACAAGGCAGCAGCAGGGGACACCCGGCCTGGGGCTGTCACCGCTGCGTGGGGGGCTCAGCTGGAGGCTGGGTTGGGGCTGGTTGCAGAGGGACAGGGCTGGTGGGGACAATGTCAGCGGATAACATGGGTGGCCTCGTGCTCCCTGCGCTTGCTCCAAAAGGATACAAGATGTTCCAGCAGAAGGTGGCGGGTCTTTTGCTTGGGGAAACCTGCAAAAACTGCCTTTTTAATATTTTTTTTTCCCTTTCTATCCCAGAATCTGGATAAGAAAAACGAGCCCACTTACGCCATGGTGCGCAAATCCCAGCAGGAGGAGCAGCTCTACGCCAACATGCTTCCAGCCCGGCAGCGTGCGGCGCAGTGAGGGCTCAGGACCCGGCACCACTGCCCTGCATGGGACCTTGGGCATGGGACATGCGTGGGGACACCGGGACGGATGCTGAGTTGGGCAGGAGACGGCTCCCCAAGGGAGCTGCTGCTCCCACAGGCTCTGGAGCTACCTTGGAGCAGCCTCGGAGAGGACGAGGTTGTGCAAGGGGCGCTGCACGGGGATGAAATCGTCCCCCTGCATCTGGAGCCCTCATGCCTGGTACGGCGTGGTGCCGGGACTGGAAAGCAGCCCAAGGGTTTGGGTTGTCCAGATGGACAAAAGTGTCCAGGCAAAGGAGCTGGGAGCTGCGGGTGGGCTGCTTGGCTCCGTGCCCCCACTGCCCCGCGCTGATGTTTCGCACCGATGGACCAGAGCTGGCAGCTCCCGAGAGCAGGGCAGGGAGAAATGCTACGTCCACCTGCCCTGTGCCTGCAGGCACTGCCAGCACCTCGGGCATCCCAGCTTAGGGGCGCAGTGTGGTGCCTGGTGTCCTGGACAGCCCCAAACCAGCCTCTGTGTTCGTGTCCGTGCTCCGAAGGACACCGCAGAGGTGTTCCCATCCCTCTTGAACAGCTGCTGGCGAGCAGCTCCCCAAAACCCCGCAGCCCCGAGCTCCCTCTCAGCTTCGCTGACTATTTATTTCTCGGCACCCTCTCAACGTGCTGTTCTCCATAAAACATCCCTCCTCTATCAGTAAAAGCAGCCGAGCCTCTGATACCATCCAACGCCGCTTCCAGCTGTGTTTGTGCTACAATTTTGCACCACGACAAGAGGGACGCTTTGCACAGTGTCCCCCCAGAAGCAGAGCTGGCACCTTGCTCGTGCCATCCCCAGCAGCGGGGGGACCCCAGCTCCATCAGGGCACGAGCTGCAGCAGCACGGGCTCACCGACACGCAGCCTTCCTCCTCCCCAGCCCAGCACCGGTGCTGAGCTCCCTCCGAGCTCCTGCCCCTCTCGGGGCTGTCCACCTGCTGGGAAACAGGCTGGGCTTTGGCACCTCGCTGTGCATCAGCCAGGAGCGCTGGCGGACTCATTTGGGGCGAAATTATTAATGCTGTTAATTGTTATAAAGCGTTGTTTGGGTGTTTTTGTGCTCGTTTTGTTGAAGAAGCCTGGCGCAGCATCGCCGCTCTGCCAGAACCAGGGGGAAGTAAGCGAGGCACCGCCGCAGTGGTTGCTCCCCTTTGGGCAGCCAGAATTATTCCTGGGGTCGGCCGGGAGCTGTCGGCACCCAGAAATGTCCAGGAGCAGCCCTGATGGGGCTGGGAGCACGCAGGGGAAAACAAATCACCTGCTGCGCCCCGGGTAGTGCCAACAGCCCTGCATTGCCAACGGGAGGATGAAGCAGTTGGAGTTTTTGGGTAACTCGGTCCCATAACACTCTGTCTGGGGGTAGCTTCGTGCTTTTCCGAAAGACCGAGGCGGCTTTCCTAAATTAGCTCCCTCCCCACGGCGCCAAGGCAGGGATAGCCGCGGGCTGCGGGGGAGCCGGCGCTGTGGGGCCGAGGAAGCCGCCCACCGAGGCTTTCGGATTTCCCAGCTGGGGACTCTGCAAACCTCCTCGGGTGATACTAAGAGCTGAAAATCCCAAGAGCTGTATTTTCTCCAGCCCCAGCAGCGCTCCCCTTGGCACTGCTCAGAGCCCCCGGAGGGTGCCCCCTTCTCTCCGGGCAGGGGGAGGCATCCCGGGGGGGCTCACCCTGGCCCCAAACAGCACGAGGGGAAGCCCCCGAGCCCCACAGGCCCTATCAGCAGCCCCCAGAGCCCCCGTCCTTACCCAACCTTCCTGCCCCTGGAGCTCTGCGCGCAGCCGTGGCCGCAGCACTGCCCAGGAAACACGTGCGGGACCGCAGGGCGCTGCTATCGCTGCTGGCACCGCTTCCCCTTCCCTCCGCTCACCCCGGGGCCGTGCACCCCACCGCGGGGAGCATCTTCCTCCTACCGCCCCTCTGGGCTCTGCTTCATGCTGGGGTTTGGTTGGGTTTGGGTTTTAATTGCACCTTTTTTTTTTTTTTTTTTTTTTTTTTTTTAACTTGTGTTTTTGTGTTGTCTACACCTGGTGGCTGTTGGGTGGCTGTTGGGGATGTGCTCAGGGCCAGGAGCGGGTGAGGCAGGGAGGAAATGGGAGGGTGGCTGCCTGCCACCGCACAGGGAACGCCCGGCCTCGGTCTGCAGCTTCACCGGCGCTTTGGGTGCTGTGGTGTGGGTGTGCACACCCCCATGCACACACACACACACACCCAGCACACACACCCAGCACACAGGCAGGCACATGCATGCATACACTGCATACACACACCCCCTGGTGCACTCATATGGAAGCACACACTCTTACCCCACTGCGCACAGGCAGGCATGCACAGCCCAGTGCACACACCCCACTGCACACACACACGGTGCACACACGCATGCATGGCCCAGTATGCACGCATGCATGTGCACATACATATGCACCCGCAGTGCACACACCCCCTTAATGCCCCCATGCACGTGCACACCCTCATGCACGCACACATTCACACACACACACACCCATGTATGCACACACACAGTCACGCCTACCCACCCATGCATGCACACACACACCCATACCCGTGCACACAAACTCACACACACCCCCATGCATGCACACACTCACATACACACCCATGCACACCTAAACACACCCATCCATACACACACCCACATGCACAGCCACATGCATGCACCCACACCCACACCCATGCATGCGCACACACACCCTCACACCCACCCACCCATGCACACACACATCCATACCTATGCATACAAACTCACACACACACCCATGCATGCCATGCACACACACATATGCACATCCATGCACACACCCATCCACACACCCGTGCACACACCTGTGCATGCACACACACATGCATGCATGGCCCCCCATGCATGCACACACACACTGCACACCCATGCACACGCACCCCCATGCCCCCCCCATGCCCCCCCTGCCCATGCGCGCTCCCTCCCCCCTCTCCCCCCCGCCCCTCCCCGCGCGTGCGCGCGCCGCCTCCCGCCCCGCGGTGACGATGGTGGCGAGCGGGCGGGCGCGGAAGCTGGCCCGGCGCTACCGCCTGGCCCTGGCCACGGCCCTCGGCATCCTCCTGCTGCAGGGCCTCGTCCTCTGGAGCTCCGCCGGCCTCGACGAGGAGGGCCCGGCCGAGGTGCGTCGCGGGGGGGGCGGCTGGAGAGGGGCCGGGGGGGCTGCGAGGGGGTTTGGGGCGATTTGGGGCGATTTAGGGGAATTTGGGGTGGGGGGTGTTGGGGGGGAGGGTGGGGACCCCAAAGGTGTTTGGCATGTGGGGATGGGGAAAGGGGGGGGTCGTGGTCAGGCTGTGCTGCTTGGGGGGGGTGAATGGGGTCGTTAATTGGGGGGTTAATGGGGAGGGTAATGGGGAGGTTAGTGGGGGGGATAATGGGGGGGTGAATGGGGGGGGTGAATGGGGTCCCCAGGGGCTCAGGGGGATGTTTGGGGGCTCCCACCCGGCTGCGGAGAGGGGCCGGGGGTCCCTGCAGTTGGAAGGGGTCTTCGCAGCCGAACGGCCCCCAGTGCTTGGGGAAACTGAGGCAGGGCCAGGGGTCACCGGGAGCTGGGGGCTGTGGGGTCAGGGGGCGCCTTGCTCCCACCCCCGACACAGCTCCTGGCTGCTGGGCTGCCGATTTCACCGTGTTGGCCACCAATTTCGCTGTGCTGGCCACCAATTTGGCCATGTCAGCCACCAAACTCCCCACGTCGGCCACCAGTTTCGGGCTGTTTGCCCCTCGTGGGCTCCTCGTGCTCTCAGCTGGCTCCCACCTCCTCCCGGAGCAGCCTTTGCTGTGAAGGAGCCGTGAGGCTGAGGGCAGCCAGCTTGGCCTGGTGGCCCCATCGCCTTTTTTCTGTGACCCAGCCTCCCTTCCCTCTCCGCACCGTCCCCCCCTCCTTGGGAAGGCCCCCGGGGTGCTGCTGTGCTCTGGGCTGCCTCCTGCCCTTCCTCCTGCCCCACACATCCCCGGGGGTTTGGCTCTTGGAGCGTCCTCGCCTGGTTTCCCCGCGTCTCTCCCCAATACTGGGCACCGTTTGGCCACGGCTCTGGACTCAGGTTCGCCACCGGCAGGCTGACGGCTCTGGGGCCTGGGAAAGGAGCAGGCAAGAAGCTTCCTGAGCTGTCCCAGCAGCACAAAGCTGGGAAATGTCCAGTTAGCCTCGGTTCCGCAGCCAGCAAAGCTCCTCGTGTCCCTGCCCTCCTCCAGTTCCTCGTCTTGGCCAGACCTGCAGGAGCCGCCGCTCCCCGGGGGCGTTTCTGGTGAGGATGAACGCAGGGCGAGCTGTCCCAGGAGACCCCGACCTTGCAGCCTCGGATGGCTTTGGGGAAATTTGGGATCCAGAATAGCAATTCAGGCTGTGAATGGCTCCCTCCTGCTGACGGGCACTGCCCCTTCCTGGAGGGGGTGACAGGAGCAGGCAGGGCTGTCCCCAGCCAGCTCTGAGTGCCACCAGGGGTCTGGCAGCAGGGTCCCCACCTCGGCAGGGCTGTGCAAGAGGCTGAAGCCCCTCAGGGTCCTCGGGTGAGCCACATCTCCTGGAGGCCATGCTGGGGACATCCCTGTGCTGCTGCTGGCTGACGGGACGAGCGGCTCCCTTCCTCCACACCAGGATCCGTCCCCGCTGCCTCCCTGCTGCGAGCTGCCCAGAGGCTGTGTGAGGATTCGTTTGGCTTCGGGCTTTGCCCTTCGCTGGAGCAGGTTATCAAATCATCTCACTCCAGCAGCGCCGAGCCCTCTGTGCCCTGCTGGGGCTGCGGCTGCCTCACAGCCCCCAGCTGGAGGAGGACGCGTCTCCTGGCTGGCTCCTGACCTTGGCCTTGGAGTCTGCACGGCATCCCTGCATCCGCCTGCCCGGCTCCTCGTCTGGAGGCACCCGTGCTTGGGTTTGGTGCCTCTTCTAGGCCCTGGAGGCTCCCTGCACTCACCACACGGACGTTTCGTGGCGTCCAGACCAGCAGAAGTCGGATCAGTTCCTCGTGGAAGGCTCCGGAGCGGCACGCGAGCAGCTGGAGCTGGCTCCTTGGGCACAGAGTGCAGAACGTCCCCGTGGGCCCAGCCGCCTCCTCAATCTCCCCCTTCGCCTCCCGTCTTCCTCCACGCACCTCTCTGGGGCTGTGTGTTGCTGTCAGCCTTGCACAGCGGCCTCTGGAGAGGCTTCCTCTGAAACGTCGGTGCTTGCAGCTCCCCTGAGATGCCTTCTTGTTCTTTTTTTTCCTCGAAAAACTTGTTTTGAGGGGCTGTGATTGAGCCTTTCAGCGGTGAGGTTTAAGGAGCTGCTGCTGCTGAACTGACGGCAGCTGAGGGCAGGTTCCCCCGGTGGCTTTGGGAAGTTTTGGCGTCTGTTTGGCCTGACAGGAGCAGGTATTTGGCAGACACCCACGTCAGCCAGGCCCAGGCAGAACCCTGCAGGACACCAGGCAGTGATAACTCCCCTCCCCACCAATACTTTTAGTTCCCAATTTGCGTTTGGCATCGGGAGGAGGCAGAGGAGAGGCAGGATGGGGGAAGCGACCTCTGGCAGGCAGCTGGGAGCATTTTGGGAGGAGGGACAGGCAGCTGCGGGCCCTCCTGGGAGCCCTGCCAGAAGCCCTGCACACCAGCCATAAATGCAGCAGCGCGACGTGGCCGGGGCTGCTCCCTGCCTGCACGGGGCAGTAATTAGAAGCCACGGAGCTCGTTAACTAGCAGCTTTGGGAAGGCTGGCGCTGGTTGGGAGGGTTTTCCTGCTGGGGACGGCAGCCGGGCTCCTTGTGGGGCACCGCAGGGCTGCAGCCACGCGTGGGCATCGCGCAGGGGCCGTGCCTGGGGTCAGGCACTCGGCGGGTGCTGGCGGGGCAGAGGCTCTCCCTGCAGGGATGGGGGGAGTTTGGGGAAGAGCCTTGCTCTTTGCTCCTCGGTCACCTCCTGCCTCTCTGCTCCTATGGAGAAAACAGGTTGGTAACTGCACAGAAGGTCCTGCGTGGTGCCTGGCAGTGGCAGAGGGCTCGTCTGATCCCAGCCCCGTGGGGTTCAGGTGGCTGCGTGGCCCCTTTTTG